GCCACCGTCGGCAAGTCGTTCGTGGCTGAGAACGGCACGGCCTTCGTGTCCACCGCCATGGGCCTGCAGGCCGTCCTGTGCTCCAAGCTGCGCCACAACCGGCGCGCGGTCGTCACCGAGGACATCATCCTGGACCCCCTGGCCTTCGTGCCGCGCCTGCGCGTGCATGAAGACCTGTCCGTGTGCGGCGCGTCGCGCGACGTGACCGTGACGGGCGTGGAGGCCTTCAAGATGGCGTCGATCAACGCCAGCCTGACGTGGTGCAACCTGACGTTCGATCTGGCTTTCGACGATAGGATATCGCCACCACCGGTGGAGACCACCCTGCTGGACATGGAGCCCGGCGGGACGGTCGAGTACGTCGACTGCCGGTTCTACCTCTCCGTGGGGTCGTTCGCGGTGCTGGCCTCCGCGGTGGAGCACCAGGTGAACATGGGAACGGGGGCGGCCGCCACCATAGGCCAAGTCGAGATGGCGATCGACTTCGTGGCCCTGCCGGGGGCGACGCTCAGGCGCGTGGAGGCGGCTGTGCGGGGGCCGACCCCGCCCCCGAGGGACGAGGTGTCCGTCCGGCGGACCGGCCACCTGACCAAGCTGCGCGAGGCCGGCGAGGCTACCCACGCGCCGCTGGTGGTGACCCTGGACGGTAACTACAGCATCACGCGGTGCCTGATGCGGGCGATGAACGACGGGCTGGGCCTGGAGGTCCGGCGGCCCCTGACGTTCACCGGCGCCGGCGGGCCGGCCCCCTGGCTGGTGTTCCCGCAGGCCCTGCCGCGGGCATTCCTGCAAGTGCGCTACCAGGTGCGCTACGTGGGCACCAACTTCAACAACCGCAACATCGAGTTCAGCAGCATATCGGGCGGCAAGCGCGGGGCCGACGGCGGCAACCCGCTGCTGGACTTCAGCGTGCACAAGGTGGGCAACGCCGAGCTGGGCTGCCGGGTGGTGCTCAAGGACATGACGCTGGTGAACTCCTGCGGCTACCTGCACAGCCTTTTGAAGCTGTTGCTGTACGAGCGCCAGCAGGTGGGCAAGGCCCTGGGCATACAGAAGGTGCTGGACGAGGACGTGGTCATCCACGACGCCGTGGTGATGGACAACACCACCATGCACGTGAACAAGTTCATGGGCTGGAGCGCCTGCCTGCAGAACGTGACGATCACGTGCGTTGACCCGGGCATGCGCAACCTGATGGAGCCCAAGTGCGCTAGGTCGCAGGAGGGCGGGGCCACCGGCCGGCCCCTGTTGGAGCCCTCGCACTACGACGAACCCACCCTGGAAGACGACCCCACGGAAGGCCCCAGGATCCGGCCGTCTTTCTCCGACGTCGGCACGGCGTCCGTCGGCGGCGACGAAGTTGGCCTCGTGGCGAGCCACGACCAGGACGATCAGGGCGGCGTCGTCGATAAGTTTCCGCAGTTGGCGCTGTCCGCGTGCGGGGGCGCGCTGCTGATGGCCGCCGCCGTCGGGATCATCGTGCTGTCGAGGCGCAGGGGGAGATGCGGTGTGGGGCGCGTGGGCGGGAAGCGTGGGGCGCCGGACTGGGTGATCGACACCGAGACCGGCGCGCGGAACGACAAGGAGAGGGGCGAGTGGTCGCGGCTGGCGTCCGTGCGGCTGGAGTCTGGCGCCCTGGGTACCGGGAGGACGGAGTCGCTGGAGCTGACACCAGAGGTCGCGGAAATGCCGTGCTCCCCGGGGCCCATGTGCACGAAGGAGTCGCTCATCGGCGCGATAACGACGGCGTCGGCGGGCCTGGAGGACGCGCCGGCGACGATCGAGACGAAGATCGCGGTGGGGGGTTGCGGCGTGGTGTACAAGGGGAATTGGAAGGGTGTGCCGGTGGCCATCAAGACGGTGGTGTTCCAGGACCTGGAGGACGCCGGCGGGCGGCAGAAGCAGCGGGCGGTTCTGGAGGCGGCCATCAGCTCCAGCGTGGCGCACAAGAACATCGTGCACACGTACACGTACTCGTTCAAGCGTCTGGAGGCCGAGACGCTGACGCCGTTGGAGCGGGTGGAGGAGGCGCACACTCGGGTGGATCTGGGCACGGTGGACTGGAAGCTGTACATTGTGCAGGAGTTCTGCGACGGGGGCAGCATGCGGGAGTGCCTGGACAAGCGGCGGGTGTTGGACCCGCGGACAGAGGAGCCCATGTTCGGGGTGGTGTGCCAGATCGGGCTGGAGTCGGCCCTGGGCATGCGCCACCTGCACGCCCGCAACATCATCCACGGCGACCTGTCGTCCAAGAACATCCTGCTGAAGACGACGGCCAACGACAAGGTGTCCCTGGGCACAGCCAAGATTGCGGACTTCGGGTTGAGCATGAAGCTGGAGGACATGCAGAGTCACGTGTCGAATCAGCGGGCAGGGACGCCGTTCTACATCGCACCGGAGCTGTGCCACCAGGGGGTCCTGTCCAAGAAGGCGGACGTCTTTTCCATGGGGGTGTTCCTGTGGGAGCTGTTTCACTCCAGGAAGTGCTACCACATGAGCAAGAAGTCGGGTTTGCAGTATCACCCCCTGTTCCCCAAGTTCCCGGTCACCTGCCCAATTCCCTACGCCATGCTGTGCGTGGTGTGCATATCCCCGAAGGCGGAGAACCGCCCGGACTTCCGCTTCATTGCGAGGGTGCTCGCGGCGCTGAAGAAGCAGCACGACGAGGGGATGTACTCAAACGAGAAAGACTTGCGCAGCCAGAATCTGGCCCTAGCGAAGCGACTGGGCAGGATGACAGCCACGGAGATAGTGCACCTGATTGCGGACAATGTGGGCATATCCGTCACGGACACGTCTGCAGCCAGCGCCAGCTGCTCCAGAGACAGCCCTCCGCCTCCGCCCGCTGTGGACACTCACAGCATGATGCAGCACCCCCACTCGGTGTTCTTCAGGGAGAAAGACCGAGACGAAGAGAAGGGCGAAAGGCATGTAATTCATGGATCGGAGAAGGAGGGTGGTGACGCAAGCCAGACGCACGTGGACCGCATCCCTTGCGTTGCCTCCGTCAGCGTCTCCACAGAGAGAGACGTCGACACTGGCAAGGACAAGGAGCAGCTCAGCATCGCCTGGGAGGTCGACCGGCCCGCCGCGCAGCCCCCTGGACCGCCAGACCTCCAGAAAGGCAGCAGTCAGGCTGACGACATTCCTCGCATGCCGGCTGAGTTTGCAAGCCTTGGTGCCGGCGCCCCCCCCCCGCTTGGGCCCAAAGGGACGCCCTGCTCGCCGCGCACGGGAGAGGTGACCATGAGCCAAGAGCGGCCAAGAGCGTTGGCTGAATCAGACAGTCTGTCGTCGGCGCGAGTAGCCCCGGCGAGCACGGATTTCAAGGGTCGTTTGGCGTTGCTGAGGTCCGTGAGCGGCAAAAGGCAGAAGGGGAAAGTGGGGCCCTCCGGCAACCTCCCGGTGTCGTTCAGGTTCACGCGGCCGCTCACGGACTCTGAATGCGCCTGGAAGGGCAGCGGTGGCAAGAGCGCGGGGGTGCGGGCAATGGCCAAGACGGACTCGCCTCACAGTGAGCAGTCGGCCTCTGTCGCGCCGCCAATCAGACGGATACAAATAGATGTGGTGGAGTTTTGACTGTCTCGCGTCTGAGCTCGCATGGCGGGATGCCGTCCATGTGAGTCCATGGGGCGATCCCCTTCCGGGATGGCTTGCATTCTGCGAAGTTTTAGGGGTGCTGCCCCTCACAAAGACGGCTCCCGAGTTAGTGCAAGAGACCATGGTGAAGGTGATCCAGACAGCAGGCCAGACTTCGAACCCATGGCCAGCAACGGGTCACTTGCTTCTGCATTTTGCTTGGGGGAAGTTGGTGGGAGGAAAAGCAGAGACGATTGGATTGATGGTCCATGGCGCAACAACAAGAGAACCTAGAGCGCAGATTACCAGGGGATTGTTCTTTCCGGCGGTATTGGACCAAGGGATGCGGGCGAGGTGCAATATTGGACCCAGGAGAGATTGTTCAGCGCCACTCCAAGGGGAACCCAACCATGGGCGAGCTTCAGGAAACCAGAAGGGGATTTTCGAGCTGCTTTTGGAAGAGCCCATTGGCGACGGTTCAGCCAGCATGGGGTGCGTCGGTGTGTGTGTGCCCGCTTGAGTGGAGGGCACTGGAGTTTTGTGGGCGTCCTTCATTGTTCGCGCTGGCACCTTCATTGTAGGCGTTTGATCTGGGAGCAGCCATAGTGTAGAGAGACCGATGCAGACGGAAGTGCATGCGGTATGTATACAACGGCTAAATACTAGAGGTAGAGTGTACAGTGCTAAGTCGCAGTATCAAGCTGGTGGAATTCATAGCTAAGTGTGTGTTGGCCCCTGCAGTTGGCGATTTCTGCTGCAAGGCTGTATGCTGTGTGCGAGCTTGGCACCACCGCTGTCATTTGCTTCTTGATTCTGATTGGTGACAGACGCAGTGCGCTGAATATTGCAATAATGCGAGTGTGACATGCAGCTGTGGCGGAAACGGAGCGGCAATCATGTTGGTGATGCTGGCGCGCCTCCATGGCGAGTCTCAGGTTGCTTCGTGCCAACACGTGAATAATGTTATTTAAGGATGCAACTTGCGTGGTCTTCGCCGATTATTCGCTATCTCTGCCCCGACTTGATACATGCACTCGGAAGTGGGTTTTGGAATAAAAGGAACATATTTGGGTGTTGAACACTTTGCGATTTTTGTAGCAAGGGTCGTCCAATTGTTGCGATGAGGGATGTCTTCACCTTGATGGCATTGGCTGTTGTACAGCAGCAACAGATTGAGGTTTGCTCGAGAGGGTCACCCATGGAACAGTCCGTGGTGCACACGCTGACAGCCAGCATCAGGATCCTGCCGCCAAGCAATTTGCAGCAATGAAATCTACAAAATAATCCCGCCCAGTACGCCCCCTTGCATGATTCAGGGACCGCGAAATATCACAAATCACCACACGCGGTCAAAACGGGCGCTGGCGTGGTGAAGCAAGCTGAAAATCAATTGAAATAAAGGACCCACTTATAATCCCATGTTATGGCCGGTCGTCCTGCTCGTACACCACCGGCAGATTTCGCCGGTCGATGTCGCTGCCTATACTCTGGAGGTGGGACAGAACCTCCCGCGCAGTCGACTCCCCTGAGTCCTGCCTGCTGGAGGACGCTCCCGACCAGTTCGCTCTGCCTTGAAAGATCCTGGTCATCGCCAAATACGATGGCTCGTTAGGTGGCACAACAACATGCAATTTGACTAGCGCAATGCCAACTGGGCGGGTCGAGGAAACAGCCCACACGCAGGTAGCCGGTTCGTTCGCCCTGGAAGCCCCACGGTACACTAATTTCACTGAAGCTTCAGCCCATGTGTCTTACAACACATGGGCACTGGCAGAGATGGAGCTATGGTCCCAGGACGCGGGGAGCGCAGGGCGCGCGTTTCACCTGTTCATAAGGTCCCTCGCATCTTGCGCAATGGGCATGTTTGGCATTGCCGTCGCCCGGTACGTGCCTCCGAGTCCAGTATCCGTCCCGGCGACGCAGCGCGCCTCGAAAACGATCTCGTTCCCCAGAGCGGCACCACCTGCCTCGGGGCCGTTCCTGCACCTGTCCTCCAGGCTGTAGTACTCAATAGCGATGTCGATGATGAACGAGGTGGCCAGGTTGAGGCAGAGGAGCACCCCCAGGAAGTGGAACGCAACGAAGAAGATGCGGAACCAGGGGCTGGTGACCGCCACGAAGCCGCTCACCAACACGTCCCAGTTGTTGACCACCAGAAGCATGAACATCGTCACCATCCCGGACGGCATGTCATTGAAATTGACGGGCAGGAAGTCGAATTTCGGGCTGGGGTGGGCGAAGCCGGGCGCCTTTCTCTCCAGCAGGTCTTTGTACGGGCTTTCGGGGTCACGGTTGATCCTGCCGCCAAATATCTCCACCCCGAGCGCGGAGAACAGGAAGACGAGGACGAACAGGACCTTGAGGAGTCGGGACGCAGGGCCCAGCACCTTCGCGAAGGTGGAGCAGATTGCCTTGAAGCCCTTGCAGCTTGCCAGGTGCCTGACAGCCCGAAGCGCCCTGCAGGCCTGGAACCACTGGATGAGTTTGGCGTTGCCGTACGCGCCGGGAACGTGCAAGACAACAGTAGCTGCCACTGTTCCGGTGGTGACCGCGAGGTCGAATTTGTTGCGAAGTTTCCTCCAGTATGCGAGCCAGCCGTTGATGCACACCTTTGCGATCGCCTCTGCCACAAACAGGATGGACAGGCATGGCTCCGCCCAGCCAGAGATGATGGAGAGTTTGCCAGTGTCGGGGACGTCCCAGCCCAGGGGCCGGGAGCTCTCCATGACAAACACCACGGCGTTCATGAGGAGCACTGCGTCGATGATTGAATCGAAAACGCGGCCATTTATGAAGGCACAGAAGTGCCTGAACCACGACAACCGGTGCATGGAAGGAAAGCGCACTTCGAACGGCGCCGAAGTCTTCACCTCAACAAACCGCACCTGAAGCACGCACCGCCACAATTTGAGTGACTGAGGCATTGTGTGCTTTGGAGGTGGCTGCATTTTCGATTGGAACAATATCCTGCCATGCAGGCCTGTCTTCCGCAAAGTCAAAACTGGATTAATAAGTACTGTAACCATCTAGCCGTGTGGCCTCTGGGCCCTAAGTGTTAGCATCGATGCGAACTCTATCGATATCGATAGAATTCTCTGACCAGACCTGCCGTGCCATCCCTAGTAATACAGCTCAAACGAGATGTGTTATAGCTGCCAGGTTCGACATTTGCTGCTTTTTACCGCTTAAATCTCCTCATGCATATTCTGTTATATTTAGGTATCAGTAAATTACTTGCGCACATTGTGCAGCACAAGCCTTTCCTCAAGCGAAAGGTACACATGCTCCATAGCATGAACTCAAAGTTCTCACCCCTTCCACGTTCTCCTATTTCTTATGTGCTTTCCGATCAATCCTAAACGTCATCCACTGTATGCTCTCAGGCAGATTGCGACTAGAATTCTAGTCCATTTCAAGGTGGACTTTGGAAAGCACGAAATGGCACGTTAAACATGCTGAGGGCTGGAATAATGGCGGGACAACTTTTCCCTGCATTATTCCAGACTTCGGCATGACGTCCAGCACTAGGTCTCTTTTGAAGCCTCCGCTGCTGGTAGCTACCTGCAAGACGTCGCATACAGACATGAACTCCTCTTGGGTGACTGCTCCGTCTCCATCAACGTCCACGGCTGCAAAAAGAAGTTTCGCGTGGTCTTCAGCAATGTGCTCCATCTCCGTGGTCTTGTTCAGCTCCACAAAAACTTCCATCATCCTCTCAGCCGAAACAATGCCTGTTCCGTCATCCAGCCAACGGAATGCCTCCCTCAAGTTTTCCTCCCTGCGCGCCAGCCTCTTCATCGAGTTGAGCTCCCGGCCCCTGTTATACTCCTTGTAGATGATGGCGGTTATCATGTTCAAGCCAAAGAAATACGCCAGGAGGAGGAAGGTCATGTAGTACAGGATGGACATGCGGTTGGAGCTGTACGCCGGCATGATCATGTCTGGGCTGTTGTTGGTCGTTGTCAGGACCACGAGCGTCCACATGCCTTCCCACAGGTTGGGAAAGAACAGGGCATCCTCAATGCCGGAGGCTTCGTCCCTCGAGAACAGAATGCAGCCGCACCACGCATACAGGAGGACGAACAGTGCGAAGAGGGCAGAGATGGAGCCAAAGGCTGGCAGGATCCTGCCCGGGGCACGTGACCCTTGATCAAATGGATCTTGGTTAATTGTGCATGTTTCTCACACGCCGACCCTTCTGTGGTATGCCCATTCTTGTGAGTTGGTTTGGATGTTGGCTATCTTGTTTGCAGTGAGATCCCCTTTTTCTTGCTATACGTCTCTCGGGTTCGATTGACATTGGCACCAATGAAGTCTGTGCAGTAGATCTAGGGAATGTCGAAAATCAACCTCAACCGGTCGCCTCCCTGCGGAATGGAGTCCTACCGTGCTATTCCTTACAAGGATCGTATGAAGCATCCCATGTGTTGTCAGATCCCAGTACGCGAAGGCTACGTCATGAAGTGAGCTGCTGAAACCTACAACAGTTGTCAAGGAACTTCCCTTGCCGTGATCTGAACAATTCCTTCACCGATTGAGGCCTGCCGGCTTGCTCAAAACGCAATCCCGGCTCCCGAATCCCGCCGATTCAGCGGAGGATGCACGTCGAGACCGGCGCCTCACCTGTACATGACCTCCAACTGGCCATGAATCTCCTTGTGCCGCACGGCGAGGAGCGCGATTCGAACGAAGGGCGCCAGGCGCGTCCACGAGTACGGCGTGCAATATGCGTAGACGAGGTCCGCGAGCGCCAGGGCCAGCAGGCCGGCGAACAGCCTGTCCAGCCGCCCCTCGAACGCCCCCCTCCCGAACGACATGTACTCGACTCCCAGCTGGCCGACGAGGAGCGCCAGGAATAGCAGCTCGGAGGCCAGGTCTTCCCACCTGCCCGGGAAGGCCCACTGAGTGCATGTTTGCTCGCCTCTTGTCTTGCTGCTGTCGTTTGCTCACCATTTCGCACCAAACACTCAACGTCATCTTCTCACAGCGCGGACAAGACTCTCACGCAGCCTCGCTCACGAGGGGGCGCCCTTTGCATGCCCCCTTCCTCTTCTCTTTGTAACAAGTCTCACCTGCCCAGGAGGGGCGCGCCGAAGGTCGGGTACTTGGGGTCCGCGCAGGGGTCCTGGTGGCCCATCTGCCGCGAGCGAATGCACCACTGCGGGCGCTCGAACAAGGTGAGGAGGACGTATCCCCAGAGGGCCGCCACCATGGGGCCGCGCGCCTTGGCCGCCACGCGGTGCCAGCGCCGCGCGGCGCGCGTCTCGAGGGGATGCGCCCGCTTCACGCCGAAGAAGGCGTCCTCCACGAACCGGCTGGCCTTATGCAGCCCGCGCCTCGCCAGCGACTTGGCAGCGGAGCCGGCCCCGCCGTCCGCGCTCTCTGCGTCTTCGCCGGTCAACAGGGGCTCCGTGTTCGGATCGTGCCCACCACCTCCCTCGAGATCCTGCATGCCTGCGGGGCCCTCAATGAGGGTGCTTGCAGTTGACACACTCAGCAGCCGTCGAGGGTCCAGACGGGCTGAGCCGCAGTGCCGGCAGCCAACCAAAGCCGGTTGAGCAGCGGGTCGTGTGCGCTGTTCGACGCGACTGTGGGCGTGGCGAGGAGCGGATGGCCGTGCTGGGGGCCCCTGGGGCCATGGGCCGCAATACTGGGTGTGGTCCTTGTCACGGCTGAGGACCGTCAACTGTGTATGCGATGGCCCAGTCACGTGGAGGCGGGTTCGCGGCAGGCGCGTCCCTGGGTACCAGTGGTGTTGAGTCAACACCATTTAACCTCCAGTCAACAATGTTGACCTTGGTGACATTTGGGGACCACTGGCTTGGATATTTTCACGCAGGCAAGTGGGTGTGTTTGTGTCCCATGCCTGAGGCCCACTTGCCAGGCAGCCCAGAGTACTGGAGCCACAATCCCTGAATAGCAGAACGACTCCCTGGCATGCAGCCCGACACAAACATCCGACGTTGGCGGGGGACGTGCATCATGAAGCGCCCAGGTCTGGAAAAACGGGGGAAAAGCGTGGGGGCGTGGGGGGGGAGGGGGGTTTGGGGACAACACAGTCAGGAATGGCAAGTGCATACGTACAGCAACGCTGATCTTTGACATCTATCACAAAGCACAAAGGTCCACAGTATCTTGATAAGAGATAAGAGAAACCTGCCCCAACATCAAACCCCACGTGCTGTGCCAAACAAGTCTTTTCGCTCATGAAATGGCCACCTTCGGCCGAACAGATTCTTCGCAGCACAGTCTGCAGGAACCCGCTTGTTGAGTGCAGGTATGGTTTAATTCTGTATCACCCTGGCTCGCAAAGAAATGGGGGTCCCCTTGCCCAGTCGGGGCCCATCATATAAATAATAAGGATCATGTTTGAACAATCCCATCCCAACACTTGAATCTGGTTGGAGTTCAGCTGAGGGCGGCGACAATGGCTGGCAATGGGCATGGCGACACTGGCCCAGCAGCTAACCGAGCACTGCCCTGCTGCAAGCAATGCTACCAAACAGCCACCACCAGGCATATGTACAAGACCCGCATTTGGCAAAGACCAAACGCTTCCATTATTCTCGCCAGTTTTCCCTGCAGCCGCACACAGGTATGAATCCCCATTCATTCCATCGCACGAATGGGCATTTGCCAGTTGTTCATGGCCCCCATCTTCACCTCGATTTCGCTTGACGGGTGAGTGGCCCACCTTGACACTCGTCAGAGTGAAGGTCGAGCACATGCTGACCCATGCGCCATGCGGCACAGCCTGTGCACATCATCCGCGCCTTATTCCTTGCAGCCCCAACTGAGCTTACAAGCGTCTTCACTTCCCACTGCAGCTCAACACTTATTCCTCGCAACCCCAACCTAGTTTCCAAGAGTCTTCACTCCTCATACCAACTCAACGCTCACAGATTGCCTTCCTCGTCTGGCCGCAGAGGCAAACTGACACCACTTGGATCCTGTCCCAGTCCATCAGTATGGAGACAGCCGCCGTCGCCCAGGCCATCCGGCGAGGCCGGGGCATCGGTGGGCTGGACCTCTGGAGTGGTAGGGTCAACACTCAGTTCCTCTGCCTTAGGACTTGTCTTGGGATTTGCAACATCATTCGATGCCTCCCGCTGGGCCATGAGGGGTGGCTTTTCAACCTCAGCAGTAAAGTTCCCGGTGTCAGGAGCTGAATGAGAAAGGGGCAGCTGACCTGCACCGGCATCGCTGGACTCTCCCGAGCCCTCACCCTCCCCATCGAATGGGTCACCTGTCCTCGATCCCATCCTGCTGAGGCTCCTCATGCTCTTGGTTCGGTTGTACAACATCCTGTTTCAGAAGGGGACAAAGACAAGGGTCACCACCAGCATTCAAGGACACATGAGAAATCTTATTTCGCAGGAAGTACTTTACGTTGCAAGAGATTAAATTGCACTGAATGTGGCAACTTTGAGCACCTTGGCCACAGTATGAACAGCAACCTCATCTCCAGGCACACATGGGCTAGATAGCAAGCACACCCCAGGAGAACACAGCACTTCGGTGTGTGACATCAATACGTCAAATAGAATGCGTAGGCAAGCAAGTGAAGAATAATGGAGGTGTGGTGGCCATGAATGTGGCTGAAGGCATTCAAACCCGAGCCCAGCAGGTCAGCCAAGGGTACCGCTGCCAGCTACTGTGATTACCTAGACAATCACAACGGTGCACATCAGACAGAGCAGATGGTCATGCTCAATTCTGAAACTGCTTGCAATTGTGTCAACTGATTTTGCTTGATACAGTAGGATGCTCACTTCCTCACCTGTTCATAACCTCCCGGGCACCCTGCGTGACCTCCGACTGGTCAGAAACGACTGCACGATACATTCCCTTCAGGCCATTCTGGCTTCCAGTCACCACCTCCGCCTCAAACACAACATTGCCTGCAGACGTCTCTGTCTGTCCATCTATCAGGGCCTTGTTCTTCTCGTCCTCGCTTTCAGTGTAGAATTCCATGGCAGTGTCGATGATGAACGATGTCACAATGTTGAGGCAGAGGTACACACCCAGGAAGTGGAATGCCACAAAGTACAGACGCAGCCAGAGGCTGGTGACGGCCACGTAGCCCTCCACCATCACATCCCAGTTATTGGCCACCAGGAATACCAGCAGGGTGACATAGCTGGTCCACATGTCATTGAAGTTGAGGGTGATAAAATCGTAGCGATCGTCAGGATACGTGAAATCGGGAGCCTTATCTTTCAGCATTTCATAGTACTTGCTGTCAGGGTCACGGGTGAGCCGCCCACCAAAGATCTGGATTCCCAGGGCTGAGAACAAGAACATGATGATGAACAGCACCTTGAGGAGGCGCGATGCTGGACCGAGCATCTTGGCGAAGGTGCAGCAAATCGCCCGGAATCCCTCCATCCTGGCAAGAAATCTGACCGCCCTCAAGACACGCAGCACCTGGAACCACTTGATCAGGTTGGTGTTGTTGTAGGCATTGGGATAGTAGACATACATGCTGGCCAGCACCGTGGCCACAGTGATCAGGAAATCGAATCTGTTGCCTGCGCCGCTCCAGTAGCCCCGCCAGCTCTTGGCCATGACCTTCACGATCACTTCACACACAAAGAGGAAGGAGAACAGCTGCTCGATGGTATCAGCGTAGGGGTTGTGCTTGTAGGGCAGGCCGTGGAACCCGAGCGGCTCAGATGTCTCCAGTGCCACAAAGATGGCATTCAGCATCAGTAGAAAGTCGATGATCCACTCAAAGTACTGGGTATTCACAAAGTGGCAGGACCGCACAAACCATCTGCGCTGAGACCACTTGGGGAATCGCTCCTCCAAGGATTTCAATGGCTTGACCTCTTCGAAGCGCACCTATTCACATGGGATGAGGCCAGTCTGTCAACCAGAGTAAGCATCCACATTGCAGTGTCATTCCCTCATAATTCTCACAGGGTACTTGGAAACCACTCTTGTAAACGAAAGTCTGTCGTGCAGAAACAACTGGGGGTTGTCATTGGGACTTTGGGTGCCCATGGTGATGCCATACTCGCACACATGTCAAACGCATTGTCCACAGCTGAATCTTCCAACTTTTGTCGTATCTGAACAAACACAGATCAAATGTCCAAGAAAGGACAATAGCGTTTCTAGCTTTAAACACAACCTATTGACGGTAGACGGGAAAACGCAGCTCCTGATGCACACGCCACTGTCTGTGCAGTGGATCAGGTACAGAAGTGAAGGCACGTGAACATGAATTACTGTGGAACTCTCCCAAGAGAAAAAGAACCTGCAAAGAAATACACCATCAGGCCAAAAAATGGGCACAGCACCACTGTCATAATACAATTTTATTTGCTTGATCCACTACGTGTGCTTACGGCAGTGCAACTTCTTTCGCCCCGAAGGCAGCTTGCGAGCAAACAACGAACTATCCCCAGAGTGTTTCTTGAAAAGCAAAAAGTTTGCCATGCAAAGATTCCTTCCCCACACCAAACGTTTCTTATTCTCTTTTCTGTATGGTAAAGGTAACATACAAGCCTCCAGGCACATCAGGACAATCATGTGACGATGAGTCCTTTCATTGAACACACGCGAAATTGCACTGCTTTTGCACGCAGCACAAGGCGTTGCCAGTTCACAGTGGCCGCTGCAACCTGCGAATGGAAAGAGTGGGTCTCAGTGCCCCAGACTGAAGAGGTCTGAGCGGAGCCCCAGTCAACGAACTCACCCTCAGAACGTCACACAGCGCCACAAATTCCGTCTCATCCAGCATGTCGTCGCCGTCAGCGTCTGCGGCCGCGAACAGTAGCTTGGCGCTGTCCTCGGCAATGTATTCGATCTCCGCGTTGGTGTTCATATCCCAGAAAACCTCCATGATCTTCTTGGAGCTGATCTTGTCCCCGTCCTCTTCCGCCAGCAGCTTGAACGCCTCCTTCAGGTTCTCCCGTCGGTTCTCCATCCTCAGCTCCCTGTCGCGCTCCCTGCTGGCGTTGTATTCCTTGTAAATGATGGCGGTGATCATGTTCAGGCCGAAGAACAGCACCAGCAGGGAGAAGGACGCGTAGTACAGCATCGCCCAGCGGTTGAGCCTGAAGGCGGGCTGGAACATGTTGGGCGAGTTGTTGGTGGTTAGGAAGATCATCAGCGTGTACATCGCCTCCCACAGGTTGGGGAAGAAGATCTCCTTCTCGATGCGCATGCTCGGGTCGGTGAACATGATGCAGCCGCACCAGGCGAAGAGGAACAGGAAGAGGAAGAAGAGGAAGCATATGGAGCCGAAGGAGGGCATTATCCTGTAGATGACCAGCATCTGGCCCTGGATCTCCTTCTGCTTCACGACGAGGATGGCTATCCGGATGTATGGCGCGAAGCGGAACCAGGTGACGGGCGTGGCGTACGCCCACAGGAAGTCCAGGATGGCCAGACCCAGCAGCGAGGCGTAGGCCTTGTTCATCTTGTCATCGTACAGCTGCCGCCCGTAGGCCCGCGACATGAGGTACAGGCTGAAGGACAGGATGGAAAGGAAGGCCAGCTCCAGTAGCATGTCCGCGGTGCGCGACAGAAATGGGATGTTGAAGGTGGGGTACAGGCCGTTGTACACCCTGCATGGGTCCACGCCCCTCTCCTCTTTGATGCGGTCGCACCACACGGGCTGCTCGAAGAACGTGAGCAGCACGTAGGCCCAGATGACCGCCGTCAGGACGTAGGACACCCGCAGGTGCAGCGCGTACCACCACTGCGCCTCCTGGCTCTGCATCGGGTGTGCGCGCTTCACGCCGTAGAACGCGTCTTCCATGAACCGGCTGGCCTTCTGCACGCTGTGCTTCTCCTCGAAATAGTCCTTCATCGAAATCAGCACCAGCCATCAACACCCACGGACCCACCGGGATCCAGCCGCGGGGGTTCGCCCGCGCGATCGACACCCGCGCTCACCCCGTGGCGGTTCTCGCCAACGCGCCAGATAGACCGCGGCGGCCACGCGGATCGGGTCTGCGTGGACGCCGTGCCGGGATCATCGTCGGCGTCGTCCGCCAGCAGGCGCACGGTGTACGGGTCCTCGGGCGCCATCCCCCCGTGCGCAGATCCAATGAAATCCGATTCGGCCCCAATCGGCGCGACCTAATGGGCGAGGCAGGGTGAGGGGGAAGAGGGGGCGCCGAGAGGACGGCCCGTGAAGAGAACGGCGCCCGGGAGTGGGCTCCGGAAGCCTTTGAGGTGCGCTCCACGCCGTGCCGATGTGCGGGCCCAGGTGAGCCCGCAGCGGGACAAGACCTCATAAGAATTAGTGACGCTTGCTGAAGACTCCGGCTGACATGGGGCCCCTGGGCGCCGACGCGTGGCGTGATGACGTGTGCATGCTAGGCTGTCGCGCAGCCCACCCGCAGCCAAGGTTCAAGGGGCAAGGGGCGATGACGGCGGAAGGGCCATACCTCGGGCGGGCTGATGGGGGTGTCCAAGGGCGGGTTTGCTGTACAGTGGCGCCCACCATCCACGCAGAGCCGCCTGAAAATGTCCAAGGTGCAAAGGCAAGAAAGGGCACAGGGCATGCTTTCCGGTGAAGCCCCTGGCAAGTTTCACGCAGGCTGGAGTTGATCTTTGCCAAGGTTCCAAAAGCATGATACCTCTCACTTTGAGGGGTGACTACGGCGGGCCTTGTGTGCGTTGCAAACCGCCCTCTCCGCTCTCATACCCTACAGTCGATTGCATGAATTGCAAAGCTCTGAGGCAAAGTGCTGTGATTGGGGCCGCGAAGGCGAGGGTTGAAACTGAAGGTCTGGAGATCTCTGCCCTTGCTCATTAGATATTGAATGACGACCAGAAATGGTGATTTGTGTTTCTCATCCAAACTCTGCGGGGAGCAGCATCCCAGCGAGAATAAACTTCGTTGCAGTGGGACATGTCCGTTATGCTGGGGTACCCCGAGCACAACAGTGCCACGCAGTTTGCCGCCCTTCTTCGCTTGAGACAGAATGCCATTTCATCTTTCATTGAACAGCCCTTCCAACCATCGTGGTCAATGGCGTGATCTGTTTGCTATACTGCATTGAAGCTCTTTGCACTTTGTGTGTGGTGCATTGACCATCCTTGATAACATTGGTGGTCGATGGCATTCTCGCCTGACCACGCGCTGCAGGCCTTCTTCGCATACCAGATGGAGTGCCTCAAAGCACCAGGTGCTAACAGTCGACACCTGGAGAGGGTGCCACTTTGAAGCAATGGATGGAGTCCATACTACCTGAACCATTGCCTGGAAACGAGCAAATGTTCACAGTTCTGCAACACACGCCCATTTACACAGCTGGGCAAGCTTGGACAATATTTTCCACTCAGTAGGGGCCCAGCACGCTTGTCGACAGGCGCACAACTTCTTCCGTCGATTCAGAAATGACGGCATCCCCCTGTGCGATCTTCTTCTCCTCATCCTGGTGCAGCAGAATCACAAGATTTCATTCAGCAAGCAGTGTATTGGTAATTGGCAAGGCAGCATCTCCATATCCACGCTGTAGTCTTTTTTCTGAACCACAGCTTCTTCAGTGCTTTGATTTCTGGGAAAGAGACTGCAGCAGCACTTGGATGCCAAACGTAGCCAGTACGCTTCTTCCAAACGGGTCAGCACAAGTATATGGGATGAATTCGTGCGTTACCAGCTGACAGTGTAAAATTCCGAATTTACGCAGTGTACAAGCCTTGCACGCTTGAGGGTGGTGGTTTGCCATGTGCCAGCAAGTTCAATCGAGTCCACATTCTGAGAATGTCACCCACTTTGGGAATATGCCATTCTCCCAAACTAAGGGTGCCACTGAAGGAAATGACTGCCCACATGACTCACCTTCTTGGGTGAAGTCGACCTTGCGTGCTGGATCTTGGAAGTGCAGTGGACGTTGTACTTATCCTAATACAATTGGGCAGAAATGCATCAGTGGCAGCTCGTTGCACCTGTCCACAGGTAACACCCAGCACATGGCATTTGCACATCTCTGCGTTGACTACAGTCGAATACACAAGTGTGTCGTTGCAAATCTAAACACCAGCTTTACACTTGGCAGGCGATGTTGGCCACTGCTTCATCCCAGGTTGTGGGTTTGTTCCCCAATAGTGCACATCCCCTCGCACCGCCCATTTGCACATATGGCCAAAGGCATTCAGGTGATCAGTGCTCACAGCAACTAATATCTGTCCAACACAGTTTGCAGGTCGAACAGCAAGCAGGCTCGACTTTGTCGTCACTGATTATCCAATACAGACGACAGCAGTCGACTGACCCGTCCAATAAAACAGGAGTAGCATTCGAAGACAATACATCAGTGCACAGAAAGGATGGATGGAATCAGGAGAAAGTTCTGGACAAAAGCAGTGCTGGTGCACCACTGATTGTGGAACCCTTCACAAGACGTTTTGGGCATATGTGGCCACATCCAGAAGCCAAGTATCCCACAGGTACAAAAGGCCAAAAGATGAGAAAAATGAAGACAAAACAAGAACAAAAGGAGTAATACCTGAAGCTTTCTTTCCTTTGCTAAAAGCTCTCGGATCGCAGCGATCTCCTTGCATTCTGTTTTCTCAAGCTCAGCAACCAGGTCCTTAAGCTGCACCAGACACATTCCAGGATCAGGATGGACACAGGAGCACTCTTCAAGAACTAGAACACTTTCTCCATCCCAACCACCTCTTTCTGTCGATCAATATTATTAGGGCATGAGATGGGAATATGGTGAAGAGGGTCCAAATTCATAGGTGCTGACAGGGCACTCAGCTCATTTCACAGCTGCAGGGTATGCGCAACAAGATATTTCAACTTCAACACATGTACACAGGGTCAGATGCATTCAGCAGAACTGATGGCCAGCCTTGCACGCCAGCCTTCCTGACCTGTGAACAATAGGACAACTATCATGTTGCTTGTCTCCAAACACCAATCCTTCCCTCAATGCCACAAGGATGGACCAGCCTTATCAACTGTTTGTGTGTGCACTTGTCCAGAGGGGTCTGAACAAACCAACATGGACAAATGCAATGCCTCCAACTGTGTCTGAAAATAGGCTTATTAGGCGCAATGGCTACCTTGGTGTAGTACAAGACTGCAGATTCCCATAAGCATACACCAACCGTGGAGATCCCATGACACCATAGCCTCGTGCGCAACTCTCCTGCACACCTGTTTGGTAGTGGCTGCTGCTTTCATTTCCATTGCCTTACAGAACTTCGCACTTTGTTCGGTGCTCTTGGTGCGCTGCATTTCCTTGATCAAGTCCTCCATCTCATCTCGAGTTCCTTGCCTTTCTAAGAGTAAGGAAAAATACAAAGAAGACTTCAGTAGATGATAGGTAATTCCCTGCCAGATTCCACTGCGATCCAAACACTGATGAAGGGTTGATACGTTCCATTGAGACACCGCTGCTGTTCCAAGTTCGCCTTGAAGGTTCACCAAAGAAATTGAGAACGACGTGCACCTGAACCTCATCGTGTGGCTAACAGTCCTGGAAAGCAAAACCGCAATGATCCAAAACACTAGGCCAGAATCAAACCTTTTGCTCAAGGCACAGCTGTGAGTACCTTTGAGAAGTGCCTTGGCCTTCTGCAAGCAACTGTCCTGCTTTTGCTGGGGAGTTGTCCCTTTCCTCCAGCCTCCCTTTGCCAGTTTCATCTCAAAACGAACGTAGAAGATTGCAACTCCAAACAGCAGGAAAACAACTGCGACAGCACAGAATACCTTAGCATAATGCGGCAATATTCTCGCTGCAGAATAATGTTGCCAAACGAGGTTGCAATGCTCAAGTGCCCCTTTGGCACAATCTCACACAGCCCTCAAAGCAAAAGCAATCTGCTGCCACTGAAATGGTGCCAGGCATGCTTCAGCACATTCAACGAGAACAACATCGCAGACTTGGAACCATGGGCTTGGAACCATGGGCTTGCCAGCTCCTCCATGGATATGGCTGCAGCTATGGTAGGGGTTATTAGGGGCTTTGACAACAAGCAGGTGGCCAGACGACCTGACTGCACTAAAAACTGGCGACCACAAGGTGAATATGACGCATCCATGTCAGCATGCGGGGGCCAACGTGGCCTCATACAGAGCAAAGCAACTCACCACCAACGAGGAGCAAGGGTTTGTACATCTGAGCCAAACCGGAAATGCGGTACTTCACCACGATCGCAGTTTGTGCCTGTTTGGGAACGACGTTGTACTTGACTGCTGCAGCCACTGGTCGTCCAATAGTATCCAGGTATGAATGCCTGAACAATCCACAGGTCAACTCAGGGACTGTAAGGCACACTTCGCAGAGCAATAGTGAATATGCCATACAATGGCAAAACCTTTCAAGCAACAGCTCTTGGGCGGGTTTCGTTGCTGGACAGAAAACTATGTCATGTGTCCATGCATCAGCGAGGGTTGGCACAGACAACAATGAAAAAGCAAGTGACAGGCACACAGGCTGTGCTCGTCAGGCCTCGTTTGGTCCACATGTGGTCTGCTCAACAACAAATTGCGACGAGCATGCTCTGATTCAGAGTTCGGCATAACCATTGACCAAATTGCATCGGGTATGGTCTGTACTCTGCAGAGCTATTTCACAACAGCAATTTTCCAGGCGTGGGTTGCATTTCGAATCTCTTACTTCCTGTCAGCGACAGTGAGCTTGTCAAAGTAGGCACCCTGCTCCACCTCAATGTCTGATGCACCTTGGGGAAGGACAACCTACAGGAGGAGCGCAGTGGAATGATTGTCACATGCATGCAGGTCAGGTAGACAAGAGCGACCAAGTCCAGTGCATAAGATATGAGGTTGTGGATGTCTCTGCAGATATTCTGGCCTCCGATAGATACAAACTACTTTCTAGTAATGTTGCTATGTGTTATCTGACAAAATCGCAAAAGCAACAGGAGCACAAACATTATGATAGATGATCTTTGGTTGTGCTTTGCAGTGACATTGCAACAATTCACACACATCGGCAGCGATCTCTGTGTTGCCAAATTGGACTCCATTCTACCCATTTTGCCCCATCCAGTGGCACGCTGGATAATGATGGACATCCAATCCATAATTGGGGACTGGATCCTGTGTGGATGGATGGAAACAACCCGGGCCCATACCACCTGGGGCGGACAGGGTGAGTGGAATTGAAACTATTCAGGATCGTGTAAGTTCTCTGGACAGATCTTGTAACAATGGCAAGGCTGAGAGTGCCTGAGTGCGCAAGATGGCCAGGCAAACAAAGGGATTCGTCCCAGCAAACCAACACCCACCCTGATCTCGAGTTCATCGACTACCAGATCTTGGATCGAGCTCCCCATGGCCATCCCCAACCGACGGAACCCATCCTCTTGGTCCCAAAGGACCCCATTCAGGGGAACACTGTAACCTGTGCCAAACTAGCTGGCATGAGACCAGGACATTGCACGTGTTGAGAATCGAGTTTGCAAGTTCTGGCTGTAGCAGGGACATGGAGAACACACCAGCAGTAAACAGCCCATGGACAAACTGAATGTGCACATTAGCCTGCCGTAGCTGCAAGAGTACGAGTAGAATTGAACAGCAACACAACCACACATGCACTTCAACACATTCCGCCCCTCTCGAATGATGAAGCATTTTTTGGATCGTGATGAAGGGAAATAGACTGGGAGCACATCTTCAAAACACACCAAAAACAAAGTTGATCTTCCATCCACCGAAAAGAGGAAACCTTGGAAGCAGGAGTACTTCTGTCTACAAAACATCAACACAAACAGACTCAGACTCACTGTGATGCCAGCTTTAATCATTGGGTAACAATACAACATCACCAGCAAGTTGCCCAGGTCATAGCCTCTTCTACGTATTTGCCCTGTGTTCATTCACTTTCAACAAAGTAGCCCTGGAAACAACAACAGAAATGACAACCATCAGCCGATGTCCAACTATATGAGATCTGGATGCGGTAACACATTTGTAAGCATACTACTTGACATGCGGATAGTATACCCTTGTTGAGATGCAACAGTACACACACTGATGCACTGGAGGCCTGCCATGCCACCTTGGTGACCATTGGCTGCACCAGCATCACACGCATTGCAGTGAAACACAGGCCCTCACTCAAACAGCAGAACCAATGTGTGCCCGGCATGGGTTCGCCAAAGCTGGGCCCCAAAAGTCATACAGCATGTGCAACAGGCGTGGCCAGAGATGCTACAGAAAGTGGTGAACGTCCTTGTAGCATGTTCAGTGGAAAATGGCAGCTATTAACTGCCCTGAAATCGTGAACATGCCAATGAACATCGCTGGACATTACATTTGGGGCAGCTCCTAGGACCAGCACATATGTCTGCGGCGGCAACAGACGACGTCTGTGCCACAACGACCCACTTACATTCTTCAGTGACTGCCGAACATGGGAAGACGAAACATTTCCGATTTCGTCACGAAAATAGATCGAATGAGCATTGCCTGGAAGCTTGGCCTTTAGCTCCTATGGACAGCAGCCCACAACACATCAATTGTCCCTTCAGACATGGCTCAAAAAATGAGTACATTTGCATAACAAACGACCACAAACTTTTGTGCTGCGTAGAGAGGCCAGCAAGATTAATAACCTACAGAATAAATCAGAATAATTGAGTGAAACAGGAGACAATGGACAAAAAACCTGACAGCTCAGGCAATCAGCTTACACCAGCCCAGATCTGATAGTGGATCATCTTTGCCAAACACTCAGTGAGGCGCTGCCCTTGTGCACCTCCTAGGCATCAACAGGAACACTGTCCCAACTTCTGCATGAATACAATGACTCAGGGCTTGGTGCTTTAATCACCTTGCAGGCCGATGCCCCATAGCGTCCTGGATCTTGCTGATAATCGAGGCGTGACCAAGTTCCTTGGAGCGCTGCTCCTGTGTGCTTCTGAAGGATACCATGCAGCAAGGAAAGGTGCCAAGTCAGCATCGACGTCAACAAGGCCTTGAGCGATGAGGAACCACTTGTCTTATTCACATTGCAACAGGTATGGAGGTAAACAGCAGCACAAATCTCCCAAGAGAATCACAGGGCCCTCGTGCATTCTGTGGTCTGCAGAATCCAGTCTCCAGTGCCGTGCAAGGGGAGCAACCTTGATCAGCTTTCCAGTCTTTGTACAAAGCCATGCGCCTTGTTTTGTTCTGACAATTATGCTGTGCAAGCCAATCACGACAGCCTTTGACCTGACAGCACACCAGGAGCACGACTAAACACATTGTGCAAAACTTCACCACAGCTCACACCAGAGACAGTGCAAATTACAGCTTACCAAGTTGTACGTCTCTTCCACATACACATTGCCCCATTCAGACACCTGAATCTCCCGCACCAGCTTAATGGCCTGAAAACAGACAGTGACACACAAGCCATTTGGTGAGGTACCACGGCAATAGCAGCCACTGCTTGTCCATGGCAGCACCAAATCTTTTGGGGATCAAACATGCATTCTGCAAAGATGGGCACGCCTAGCCATGCACACTGCAGCGACACCTGCAGACTATTGTTGTACTGTGGGTGCCCGGACTGCAGTCGTGCAGGGGATAGATGCAGTCAAGCAACTTCCTGCCAAAGTTTCTTTTGTGTTCTTGACAAAACAGCACTGGCAGATCCTGTGCAGTTTTGGCATTCTGAAATACGCAACTCAGCACTAGCACTGGCAATCAAGCCAAAGTCTTTGTTGGTATCAGTAGAAGCCATGTGAATGGTATGCGGACATCTTTTCAACAACACCAGCACCACAGTCTTGAGGCCCCACCTCAACAAAGGGGGCATTGTGTGCAAAGTGCACTCTCAGATTATGGCGCTCAAATGGCCCAATGCCAGTGTAAGGGCCATAGACGACAGTGCTGCCCGACTCCTTGCTGGGCTCCATTTTGGAAAAATCGCTTATGTCACTGCTGGGGACTTTCACCTGCATGCCCATTTCACACGTTTCTCAGCAGCCACACATACACCTTTCAAGGGGAGGCTTCAATGTTTCATCTGCTCCCTGGTTTCCAAGATGCAACAAAACATCGCTCAAAACTCCAATAGCCAGAAGCCAAGCAAATCCTGTTCTGCATGCTATCAGACATCGGAGGTGCTTACGTCATGTGCACCAAATCAACATGTCCAGATCCACCTGCAAGTAAACTGTCAGGGTCAAAACTGTCACAGCTCTTGTGTTTCTGGCAATTCCCTACAGCCCAACAATTTGTCTGCAAGGGGTTGCCCATGTCGCACCAACTACAAGAATGCAACTCAGTGCACTCACCGTTGTTGTCTGTGTTTCAACACGATAGGGAGACAAGACCAGAGTGTTGTCCTCATAAACCATGCGCTGAGTTTCAGACTGAAAGATTTTCTCAGGATTTGGGGTCATAACCCTTGTGGCATAAGTCAAAACCTTCAATTCCACCGCCTGGTTGGCCGTCACTTCAGTGGGCAAGTGTGCCAAGATGCAAGAGACATCATTTGGTGCATCCTCAACTGTGCTGGTGTCCTCCTGAACACACAACACCCTCAGCAGGTCCGCACACTGCGCACAGACAATGCTGTCCCTTGCATTGCTGATCACTTTCCAACTTTCAGATACAGCCGAGACTCGATGCACTGAATGGAGAGCAGAAATCTCATCTCCACCCCCACTTGCTGTGTTGGGCTGGATCTCCACCCAACCTGATGAACATGAAGGGAACACATTGAGGGCACACTGCAGTTGATGGGCTGCATGCACTGTTGCCGCGGGATTTCAAGAAAAGCATTGAGTGCTGCCTAATTTCAGTTCAGGCCTTGGACAGGATGAGGACAGGAGGCATCGAGTGTGATTCCCCTGGCCCGCTTCCCGATCAGGTGCACGTGTGGCGTTGATAATCACCCAGCTCTCTGGCAAAGCCAATGCCACGTCCCCAAACGCAGCCAGATCTCACTACCCCGTAAACGCCCGCCCACACCATTCAGTTACCGCCACCTTGCTCACCGTATCCAGCGGGGTTTGCTTGCCGTCTTTGACCAGGGACACCTGTCACACGCGCACAGGGAAGCCGGTCAATCCCTCACTGGCGAGACACCTCCGTCCTCCAAACGGTGAAGCCTTCCTGGACCTCTCGGCACCCCTCACTTCCACAACATCCACGCTCCCGCCTTGCAGGCGGCAGGCACCGCCAGTCGAGCGCACCAAGGATGCTTCAGCGGCCCGCAACGACACGCTACAGGCCGGACGGCGCGCAGCCGCGCGTCGCTGACCTTTATCAATGCCCGCCGTTCCGCCTTCTGCTTCAGATCACACAGCGCCACGGCCGCGGCGCCGTCCCCCTTGGCCGCGACTTTGATCGTCAAGATCTCCGACTTAAAGGCCCACTGCTTGGTCAAGTCAATCTGAACGGTGACGGCAACATGTCAGCACCGCGCCCCGGGCCTCCACCACACGCGCCCGCGATCATGGCTGTTAAAAGCGGGAGCCACAATTAGCAGCCAACCTGGGCACGAAGGCCGGCCCAACGAGAGCTCTCATGCACGTTCACATCGTCCTGCACGGGCTGGGGGCCACAGCTCACAGCAAATCCCGCAAGAAGGATCCGGCGGACCTCGTGCCATCCCCGGCTGCGCACCTGCCGGTCGATCTTTTCAATGATGTGCCCCTGGGCGGCGACGCTCTGCGGTGCGGGGCTGACGAGCCGAGGCACGCAGACCGCCAGGCAAGCCAGGTACGCCGCGATCAGCGGCCACCGCGGGCGCCACGCCGATTGCCCGGCCCTCGAAGGCATCGCGGCGCGCGGCGGGCGGGGGCGGCGCCCAGGAGCCGTCGTGAGGCTCAGCGCTTTCCCGACGGCTCGCCAGAAGGGCGGTGGACCAAGTTGGGACAACCTGCGTGGGAATGAAACCCAGTCGGGGGTGGGCGGGGGGTGGGGGCGCTGGTGTTCTGCTCCCAGTCAGACATGATCGAGCTGGGCGTGCCAGCAACTTCGCCTGCTGACGTGCAGATGCATCGAGCCTTGCTCCATTCAGGATTCCTCACAGAGCCGGGCACTGTCCATGGGGCAGTGGCTTGAGTTGCCCAGGGCGGGAGGGAGGGGGTGGGGGGGGGGGGGGGGGGGCCAAGGGCGCGTCGGACGCACCCCGGACGTCAACCTTGGCGCGAGGGGCTCGCCAATGTTGCCCTTCCCGGTCCCGCGGGCGTCGGGGCTCTGACCGCTGCGCGCGGTCGCCTGTCATTGGCGCGACGGCAGCGGTTCGTGAGGTGCATCGGCCGTCAAGCTACGGTGGGGTGCCCAGGCTCTGGCCCCTTTTCATTGCAGAAAAGGCCCAATCTTCTTCCACGTCGCTGAGAGGCGTCGCTATCCCTGCGACGTCGCAGGGAGGGGTTGGAGGATGGTAGGACGTCGGCAGCGTCGGCGGGATTTACCGGAAGGTGGAGAGTGATGGTCATCGGGGCAGTCGGCGGCGTCGGCAGGGCTCCCTGTTCCCCCACCAATGCCGCGGGCCACGGCGTCACGAAGCCGCGGCCCAATTGCGACGCGGGAATCGGGTGCCGTCGCAGGAGGTTGGGCCTCTAGTGATCCATTGCGTGAGGGCTCCCCATTTTGGGTCGTCGGCAGTACTCGGCGACGGCAGTTGGAGACTCAGCCTTGGTAGTCAGTGGCCCAGACTGGGGTGTGTGCTGACGCCAACGAGCAAATATGGACGTAGGCCTTGCACATCAAGGGAACAAACGCCTGCGTTTGTGCTGGGCGCGGTGCACTTCTGGGGTACACAGAAACAACCCACAATGGCGTGTTGGAGAACGCAGCCAATGAGTATCCCAGGAAACCATGGTCGGGAGTTGTACCCTGCGTGAAGCTTAATCAGACAGCCAGAGAGCGTAGAAAGGGGCAAAAGACCTGACATACATGACTGGCATCATGGAGTTATCAAGCGTGAGTTACCAAGCAATCAACAGCCACACGACACTGCTCTGTATGTAGATCCGCGTTGAGGTGAAAAGTCGACACGCGATTGTTTTGGAGGATTCTTGTTTCTGGTGGCTGATCGATCCATTGTCCCAGAATCCATCCATTCGGTGGTTATTCTGGATGCATCTCACTCAAGGGACATGGATGCTGTGCCGCGACCACAGCTGCGAGACATGTTGCAGAAATGGATCCTCAAGCAGGCACCAAGGTCGAGGAAGCACCAGTTCAGCTCAAATTTTTGGTGCGATAATCTGCCCATAAACTGATACAACTCTTGCTTGCAACTTGCAAAATTGGCACATCCGACATCAACACACCGGAAGCAATCTCTGCTGGAGAGCTCCAATCGTGTGGCCTATCGAGAGAAACTTACGTAGTCTCCCACACAGTTGTGCATTGACGATGTGTTCCCCAAAGGTGCCCAAACACTTCATTGGCAATACAGTTATTTCGCCTTGATACTGCGGCACACATCGGTCATGAGCCACGTCATCTGGCATGAATTTAGGAGCACACAACAAGCCCACATGAAATAAAGGAAGGCACCAACCAACAAGCTCACATTATTCAGATGTGGGACACAAAATATGAAATTTGATCATTAAATAGTGTCATGTCGGGCACCTGCACCATGCTTTTGAAACAGAGTTCCTGTGGCGACCTAAGTTGCCTTCATCCCATCAAGAATGACCCCCCCCCCACCCCACCCACATTGATCCTTTTCACTGCCACACATTAGTGCACCCCCACTCCATAATGGCACAATGCTCATCGTAATTTCACACCATTGCCTGGAACCGACTCAAACGGTCCGCCAGCTTCTTCACGATCTCGCTGTTTTCTTTGATGCAGAGCTTGGCTGACCTCTGTTCTGACCAGCACATCTCAGACAGATTGGCACCTTCCAGCTGCCGAACAAGTGGCGACCCATTGCAGGACTCGATGACGTCCATGATGCTGGTCAGTTTCTTTTCAAGCTGCCCACAGGCCCCCCTATGAGTTTGAATTTCTTTGAGCAATGCCTGGTCCTTCCTGGGCGGCTGGGCTGCGACCACCGATAAGAACGCCTCAAGCAGACCCAGCCTGTCCTCCAGGTTGCTCATCTTCGCCCAGCCCACATCCTGCAGTGCCTGCACCCTTTCCCCCGCTCCCTGACACGCCTGCACCCCTTTCTCAATCTCCTCAATCACGTTCTCCGGCATCGCGCCCGTCTCGGAAGATGGCGTCACACTGGCCCGCTGGGGGTTTGCCAGCCTCTCCTGCCTGCCGCTGGAGGCAGAACTTCTCCCAGAGCGCATCCCTGGCAAAGTTCCCATTTCACTCTCCAGCAGGACGTCATCGATCGGGTGGCTGTCCAGCGGGCTGGCCGCGGCGCACACCAGCGTCCTCCCGCTCACCCCGGCCACCAGCAGGCCCACCCCACAGCTCAGGCACCCCAGGATGGGCGGCCCCCCTAGTGCGTCCCCACGCACCCTCAGCATCTCCGGCGGCATCAGCATCGGCAGCTCCCCGTCCGGCCACCTGCCTTCCTCCATCAACAGCCTGCCCAGCTCCAGCATCCATGGCAGGACGACCAAATCCACCCTGCTGGCGCTCACCAGCGCCACCTTCCTGGCGTGCCTTCCCTCTGCGACCAGCCGCGTCCGCTCCACTGGCCCATCCCTCACCACCACCGCGTCCAGCAGCCGCAGATGGATCCCCCCCTCCGGCTCCACCTGCGGGCACGGCGCCATGCCGGATGATCGCCCAGTTCCACCCAGCACCGGGCGCAGGTCCCCCACCAGGAGGTGAGCGAAGATGACGCCTCCACACGTGGACGTCACCACCACGACGGCGCCGTCCGCGCTATGAGCCCAGATCCCAGACGCCTCCCCCACCCCGGGCTCCGATGCAATCGACGCCTCGCCCTCATTCATGGGCCCCTGGAGGGCTGGAAAGCCGCGCCACCAGCCCGGCAGGCGCGCAGCCCTCGACGGGCCGTCTGCAGGCGGAATCGCCTCTTTCACCCACTTGCCGATCCTCGCGTCGAGCTCGCCGATCTCCGCTGCAGAGGACGCCAGCCGCCGGCGGTGAGGCGACGAGATCGCCTGGCCCGGCGCCGCGACGGGGCACATCGCGAAGACGGCCCCGTCCTGGCGCAGGAAGAATGCGGAGCACCAGGCCCAGGGGTCGCCCTGCACCGGCCCCAGGGCAAATGCCACGCACCGGCCGGACGTGCGCACCCCGAACGGCCCCTCCCGGGCCATCTCTAGGTCGTGCACCTCGCCGGGGGAGGTCGGCTTGGCTGCATCATAAACGGCCCACTTGTTGTTGGAGCCCAGCGCGGCGAAGGCAGCGTCGCTCGCCCCTGGGAACCATGCCACCTGAGCCACCTCCACGCCCGCCCTCCCCACAATGCACCCCTTGCTGCAGGGAGCGAATCTGCACACCTCCACAGGCCGGCCCGACCTGGCGTCTCGCGCCCGCCGGCCGCCCCTCATGTCCAACACGCCCAGCCACGGCCGATCGCCCTGCGCGCCGAAGAGCACCGCCAGGCCGCCCGCCGGCCCCACGCTGATCCCCTGCACTCGGAATCCCACGGGCGGCTCTGGGAGGATCGTCCGCGCGCGCGGGAAGCTCTCCAGCTCGCCCCGCCGCAGGTGGCGCACGCGATGCAGCCGGTCGCCGCCGAAGGCCAACACCAGCCCGCCGGCGGTGACGGCGAAGGCGTTGCCGGCGGCATCCTGGCCCACGTCCACGGCGACGTCCTTCCAGTCGATCATGCGGCCGCGCTGGCGCTGGGGGACGGGAGCGATGGTCGAGGCGGCATGGCGAGGCAGCCAGGCTGGGTTGCCAGGAACTCCGGCAACAAGTTGAACAATGGGGTTGATTGGCATTTTGGAGCGGGTCGGAGAGTTTTCTCGAACAAAGCACCTGCAAGGAGCGTGCGTGGATTGGAATGGTGTCCCTGGGCACAGTGACTTCCGACCTGATGGAAAAAGAGTCCAACAGGACTCATGGCCTACGTAAAGAGCGTCTGCCCGAGGATTTCTTTCCAGTGAGGTGTAGGCATGGCGAAACCATCAAAAACGATGAACAACCCCGTTGTTGTTGGAGCAGTGGTTCTTCCGTCTCAGCAAGTTCATTGCCCTAAAACTACTAATAATCTCTGGATGGTTTGCTGGCATGTCCCTCACATTCTCAAACATTCTTTTCCGCGTTCCCTTCCACTTTCCTTTCTGTCACTTGCGGCACTCTTTCGGCAATTCTGCAACCATGTTGCTTCTTTTCCCACTGCTCCACTTTGTACACATTTCCTTGCACTATTTTCCGAACGCATTCTCACTTGCTCTGCGACAGCTCTGGTGGCATACTCAGGCCAACACATGTAATGACATCATGAGCTGTGTTGGCATAACGTCCGGTCAAGTGTATTTCGGCTGAGCATGCGGTGACTTGATCATCCACCCCACCCCACCCCCCCCGCCCCGCCCCCACCCCACCCACCCCACCCCACCCCCACCCCCCCACGCCCCACCCCGCCCCATCACCCCCCACCCCATCCACCCCACCCGCACCCACCCCAACTCAAAGTGTTGCACACATACAGAAGGAAGAATACAGCACAATGGCCACGTGACGATCGAAAGCGGTAGTTGCCCAGCTGTTTGGGACGCTGAAAGGAGCAAACGCCCCCCTCAACAACAGCGATGGCACATCTGGCGGCTTCTCATATTCTCTCGGGCTGCAAAACACCCACACATGAAAATTCCCTGCAACAAAACTCGCATGACACAGTTTCCCATCAACAAAGCACTCCACCAGTCCAGAAAGCAGCAACTAAGCGCAGCGCTTTATTTACAGTTGTCGGCCATAGGACATTACGCATTTTATGACACAAGCACCCCGCCGGATGTAAAAACCCTCACCAAATAGGCAAGCCGACGCCAAGAAGCAACTGGCAAAACGCTAATGACCTCGCTGCGCCACCGAAGCCATCCCCAAGGCGAAGCGACAGGCCCAGCCGAGCAGACGGCACCGCACACGCCCGTCACAGCACATCACAGCGGGGGCAACGGCTGCCTGCATGTGGGGCACTCCATCTTGACGTCCATCCACCGCTGCAGGCACTGCGAGTGAAAGAAGTGGCCGCAGGGGGCCACCATTCTGGACCTGGGCCGCCGGACGTCCAGGGCGCTCATGCATATCACGCACTCCATCAGCCCCTCGCCGCCCTCCTCAGCCACCTGCCGCGGGCTCGTCGCCAGCGCCTGCAGCTCTTCGCTGGTCAGGGCGCGGAAGTAGTCGTGCTTGTCGGGCAGGAAGCGCCTGGGGATGAAACAGGTGGGGCCATAATAGTACTGCAGGAGGAGGGTGCACACTTGAAGGCCCATGTAGGTGCCGATGGCGATGCACATGGGGGGAGATGCGGTGATGTGGAGGAGGTTCTTGGGGCATCCGTAGATGTACATTGGCAGCAAGGCCCTGTGCAAGAACAGGCAAAGCATGAGACTCGCTGCCTTTCGCTGTATTTGCCAAAACGCGATGAGACCATGCCTTCAACACAAAGGGAGACGTCAGGTGCAGCATTGCCTCTGCAATGTACGCTTTGGCAGCCCTGTTTTGTGTAATTTCAGACTGCTTTCCACGTGCATCGGCAGCCAATGTTTAGGCCTTTGCAGCCCGTTCTGGAAGTCTGGAGCGCGCCACTGGGTATTAATTCTGGATATCTAGGATTTCCAAGGGCTCAGGGTCAATAGGCACGAAAGAAATGGGCTGTAGAAGCGCCCCAGACGGCAAACAGATCCACCATATTTTTTATGCACTCAGCGACCTTGGCTCCTGTAGCATAGAAAGTAGTTATACACTATACGGTTAGGCCACGTCAGCGGTGCACAACCCATCGTCACCTGATACCTGCACCATCTGTGGCTTTCATGCAACACCAGGCATGATATTAACCTTCAAATCCATCAACGATTACGCGACCCGTATATTGATTTATGAGTGTGAGCACAAATGAGCATGAACTTTGAAGAGAAAGAGAGCTATCTTCAGACGATCTTCTGGCACATTTCATTTACAACTTGGACCATGGCATTGGCGCAGACGATAGCATCAAATACAACAAGCAACTTGCCTCGTTAGAGACGTCCCCACGACGTACAGCGGTGTCAGCGGCTGTCTTATGCCCTTCCTGATGCAGTGCACGATTTGCGGTATCCAGAACGAATACAGACCAAATACGAGCACGTTCATGAACTGCTGCAATTTGTACGCCAGCAGGACACCCAGGAGCAGGGCCCCGTAGAAGCGTGTGTACAACATGGAGAGCTCCCTCCTCATGTCAAAAGGGTCCAGGCTGTTGCCCCTCTGTGCTCGCCACACCAGAAGCATGTACCGCATCTCGAAAATGGCAAAGAGAATGAACTCGAAGAAGGACACCATTGCAAAGGTGTTGAAGAGCGGATCCAACACGATGCCTGCAACATGGGCACAGCACACCCTCAAGCTGTTTGCAATGCATTATGTCCAGCGCCAGTAGCACTCTGCAGAACTAGCACCACAGTTGCAAGCTACCACGCCAGCGGGGTTGCTGCTGCTTTTCATCAGTGTGCGGCAAACATTACTCAAAGTTACTTCCTTACAAAGCAATCCATTGGCTACACTGATGGCAGAAGCTTAGTGTGGCAATGTGCCACTTGTTTCCACAGCTCCACAAACACATACGCTGGCCCTGGAGCAGCAGGGGACAGTATACTGACGAAGTCACATGCCCAGCATTGCAGCATTGATACTGCAAGCATGCATCCTGAAGGACTGTGCAACAACTCTCAACAGGGGCAATCGTGCATCCAGAGCATGTGATGCACGCATCAAATGACACATCAAATTCAGCTGCGCCTTCGTCCTTGCCCTGCATGCTCTGCACTCGCACACATCCGCTGAACTCTCACCCAGCCACTGGATTTCAAGTTATCCAGTTTATACTGGTGTTATTATCCTTCAGCCCTGTAAATCCCCTTGTCTTCTTACCGGCAACCAATTACCACAGCACCAATATGACTGCAGGTTCAGGCAGCTGGCAGGAACGAAACCAAAGCAGCTTGGATATAGAGCAACAAATGAGCATGTCCCCAGCTCCATTTCATGTCATGTAGGCAAGGCACCCCCTTCCGCAGATCACGCTCGCACCATGTAGCGTGCTGATGTAATGCAACTAGCCAAATTCCCGCAAGCATCACACGCCTCTTGCTCACATCGCCAGGTAAAACTGGGTATCTCCTATTAGGACTGATTTGGCACCTGACTTCTTGAATGTGCTCTTTCACTGGGAACACCAACAAAGGAGGGAAACGAATTCACCAAAGCACACCTGCTGTCAAGTGAAGAAGGCACAGGTATGCATCCATGGTTGTTTGATGGCTGACTGTCAGCAGCGACACCCGCATTGCTGTGGACGGGGTGGATGTTGCCTCGATTTGTTTGATGAGGAGTAGTATCTGAAGAAAGGTCACCACAGTGGTTGCCAGCGTGTAATGCAGCGCCTTTGCAAAGTAGGCTTCCATGTGCACTGTTGCTGCGGTCACTGACAGAGACACATTGCAATTCTTGCTGCTGATGGAGCCCTGCAGCTGAAGGAGGACAAAAGCAAGGATTCAGTGTGTGTTCAGATGATATGTGCATCAGCCAAAGAGGTTTGGTCGTCAGTGCCACTTTCATTGAACAACCATCGGCGTCCGTGCCATGAGGTCTTTCTCAGATCTACCCAGTGCTGGATAATTCGGGGCTGCTCTGGACACCTTGAGATAGGGTGGAGGCAAACCACAGACAGTGACAAGGCCCCTGTTATTGTGTCAATCAACGTTAAAAGTTTAGGAATGTCGACGACTGGCAAATATGCTTCCATCACAAGCATGCACCCACCGCTGGTCAGAGGAGGGCTGGTACATACAAGATGTGAGCATGCAATGCCTTTGGACAACACAACAACACAAAGGCATCTGCTAGCCCAACTGGCACAAATCTTAATGATTGATGTGCTAACTTCAAAATGTACTGGCAACAACATCACCCTCAACAACTTTTGCTGGCAGTAATTGCACTGGATGGAACTTGATACAGACATCCCAGCCCTCTGGCTCAAGGGTCAGCCTTTTCCTGATTTCTGCATTTTGAGCTGCAGAGTAAAACCGACCTGTACTGCAATTGGGATTCTGTTGTGATTACTACCATTCTTTGTGTAACAAGTGGCAAAGCACTCCACTGGCACCTTCAAATGCTCCTGGACAGGAATCCCTAAACCATGTTCATCCCAGAATGCTTGTTTTGTCTGTCCCTCACCATGAAAGCGGCCAAGAATGGCAAAATGCAGTCAGACGAGACATCACTGTGTTTGATGGCAACAAAACGCCATCATTCTGCAACCCATCGTGTGTGGACACAAAAACACACCTGAAGGCTTGGCTTGTCACTCTTGGACCTGGTGCCATCCTCATCTGACCCCATCTCCTTGCCTGTTCCTCCCTCAGCCTTACCTATGGAGACGTTCAGGTCCAGCATGAATGAGCATGCCTTGGACAACCCGATTTGGTCATCAATTGGCGTGCCGTATGCAACAAGGGGGGTGGGCTTCATGGACCATCTTCTAGCAGCCCGCAAGAGTGCCTCCCTACAGTAAAGGCAGGCAGTGAGGTGCTGATGTGACACAAAACTTGCAGGCATGCAAGACAGAAAGATTCATTTGCAACAGAAATGAACATACTTCATCCTGCAATGGGCACATTGCTCCTGAGCAAAATTGCCATTCTAGATGTAGCAATTGCTCGCTGCCCACTTACTGATGACTGCATCTTGTGCATAAATAGCAGAGCATGACCCAGACATCTCAGCCAGAACATTCACCAGGCAATCAGTTCCATGCAAATCCAAGCTAAGTTCCCCTGGCCATTGTAGGCCCAAGGAAGTGCTTGGTGGTGGAAGAAGAGACACTGGCACTGAAACAACAAAATATAGGGAATTGCATGCTCCAGATGGACTCAGCACACTGAAGGACGCCAAGAAATGGACGAAGACATCCTACTTATGTTTGAGATGGGGCTTGATGACAATATTGACTCAGCAATCCCACCAACGATGAAAGGTTTAGAGTACAAACGATTTTGTGCTGATGCTAGGTAAGGCTGATGAAGCTCCATTACAATTGCGGTGACAGAAGGTGCAAATAGAGCGTCCAGACATTTCAGATCATCTTTGGCCCCGAATGCCTTCTCAAGTCACAAGTGTGCATTTCAATTGTGGGCTGCAACAGTTTGGCCCACAAAGTTGGACACCATTCAGAGTGTTGACACATCCATTGATGCACACAACATTACCAGCCAACTGCAGCCACAGTTCTTCCACAGATTTCGTCAACCATCCACAACAGAGACATGGATGGGGCCCAGCGAATGCAGTGGAGCAGGGCATATACATCAGCATGTTACTCTGTCCACTGCTGAATGTCTTGTACTCAATGTCCTGGGCTCAATGTCACATGCTGAAAGCACCACAACAAAGAAACACTGCAGCAATCAACAAGGTCGTACACTGTGGAATGTTGTACTCTTCCGCATCGTAACCTACCCTTTGGCCTTTTGCTACGGATCAACAATAGGAACGAAACAGTGCTAAGAAATTGTGGAGCAGCCCCAGCCACAACACAAGGGTCTCTGGAATGGGCGTGGAGTCTCGGGGCCCCAGATGCAAGAGTCGCTGCGATGGCAAGCTGGAATTTGAGGCAATGCAAAGTGAGAGGAGTCGCCATTCCGGCTGTGACCATAATGCGGAGGTCACCCAAATAACTGTCTGTCAATAAATGTAGAGCAATATCATTATGCTGAAATTCCAAAAGCCAGAAGGGTTGACTATACTACGGGTACTACAACAATCAACAGCACCTGTAGTCCGGGCCTCCATCTCTGACCTCCTCTTCTGTGAACTTCATTGACAGGAGGTGTGCAGGCTGCAGTACTGCATGCAAGCGCCCCGAGTCCCTCACATATGCACCCTCAACTTTGAATCTCACATCGCTGTCTGTGACATGCGTCCCATCACGCAGGAGAACGTCGCCCTGAACATATATCAACGTCGTTTCTGATGATGATACGAAGGCTACTCCAAAAATGACAACGGCACTGGCCTGAGCTACTTTCTTGCCCGAATCCTTACTGTGGACAACTATTGCGACAAACTCAGCAATAGCAAAATCCCCATTTGGGCATGACCTCACACGCTGTGTGCAATTTTGGCAGCTGCCCACATAGGGATATGGCCAATCAGACCATTCTCCATTCCCCCTATTCTCTCTGCTGATTCTGTGTGGTGCTACAGCATACTCGTGGACCTCCACCAGGTCCCATTGCTGCACAGTAAAAGAAGTGCACTACCAAAACAAGATGGCACACTCACCTGAACACCCCACACTCCAAAGTTTCCTGATGTCTTCCCAGATGGCCCAATTTTCAACTCCAAAATGGCATCGCCTTCTTTCCCGTTTAGAAACTTGGAATTTTTGTTCAATTCAGAACTCCCAAAGATGGCGTTCCAGCTACCTGCATCGCATATGGCACAAAGCCCTCAGGGTCAATCTCAACAGTGCAAATATCTGCTCTGTCTTCTCTGTTGAGTTACAGATCCTGTTCCGAGCTATCCTCTCACCCTCGGCCAGGCAGCCACAATAGCAACAGTATCAATATGCACCAACAAATGCCTGAAGTGGAAATGGGGTCAAGTGCGTTTGCACCCCGTCAGGCACTGTGGCCCTTGCTAACACACCAGCTGGCAGGAATCTTTATTACACGGCAGGTCGACAATGTGTCCTATGGCGGCCTGTCAACATTCTGCGTTGCATCACCACCGTATGACAGACAGTGGCACGAATCCTGTGATCCACAAATCTCTGCCCTCCTGAATTCCCCGTCGCAGTTCAAAGACGCGACTTTAAATCCAAGAGGATCCCTGCCCAGTGAGGGTGCACATCCTGACATACACCCCACTTTAGCACGCACACTATAATGAATCAAAGCACTTTGCACTTCCGCACCCACTATCTGTTCTGGGTTTTGTTTGGTTAAGGGCACACGATTTTGTTGTTGCTTCAGTTCCATTGGAAGGAATGTGTCCTATGCCAGTAACTCTTCTATGCTTCCAGTGTGTTGGATTGGGCGTTCTTCTAATCTGCACCCTACTCCCTCCCACCGCGTGCAAAACCATTCTCAATTGCCAAGCTGAGCCCGAGCCTGAGCAGCACAAACCCAAGGAGTTCCATGCACACTGGGTGCGCCCCGAGTTCATTGGATGCTCGAAACTCCACCGTGCCTTTGTAAGATCCCGTGATGTTTGATGGCTGGCCGTCAGGAACCAATTTCCCGGTTGTCTCCTGGCGAATTCCACAAACGCCCATCGTCACTCCAAAAACATCCACCCACAAAATCCAGATTCTCATACCCATCTCCAACCTTTCGCTTCCGCGCGACTGGCCACAGCCCGTCACAACAGCCGCACAAGTACGCGCTGTCATCAAACCAGTCAGGCCAGCACATTGCCGTCCCACGGCTAACGGGACGCCTCCGCCCTCGCAGCATCTTCGCCAATCCCGCCGCACGCCGCGCTCACCTCTGCGCCGTCGTTCACCGCCCGCCCGAGGGCCCAGCACGCCGCCATGACGGCCAAGACCGACAGCCTGGCAACGCCCATGACTGCCGGACCGCGCGGGCCGAAGGGCGCATCCGTGGCAACCTCAGTCGCCCAGGGACTGTCTTCTCAATTGATCAGGCCCACTTTCTTCCGGGGAGAACACCTTGGCAGGGTGCACCCAGAGACGGCCGCTTTTCCTGGTGCCGCTCAGGGGATCGACCGTGCGGGCCGGTCCTGGCCTGAGGGGAAAGAGCCCCCGCGGCTGGGTCGCCACAACACGTGTGTCGGCACCCTCGTCTTCGTGCATGGGCGAGGGGCCACAATGTACTAGCGGTGTGGTTGTGGTTGGCAGTCGAGTGCTCCGCGGCGTCGTGGGTGGGGGTATCGGTACCCATCCGGTGCTCTGCCGTACTCGTGCCGAGCGCGCTGGCACATGCCGACTCTGCCCGTCTTTCAACCAGGTTGGGCATTCCGCAACGCGCCAGGAGGGCAAACTGCTGAAGGCTGGGTTTTCAGCAAAAGGACTGGAGGGATGGCGTTTTCCCCAGTGCATGGGCACCATCACTAGGAAGAATAGGGCCAAATAACACGTGCTCAAACGTGTACAGAATTTACGGGTTTGTGTTATTTCCGTGTTTTTAGTATGCAGAACACTGATGAAATGCATATATGTGTGTTCGAAAAAAGTGTTGTTTGGTCTTTTTCTTGCATGCAGCATGCGACATTACAGGTCTGCAGACTGCGTACCTTGTATTGTGTTTGCACTACAGCCAGGGCCCCTGGGCCAGGGTACAACAATGTGCCCCCTCTCAACCCCCCACCCACCCACCCCCGCCCCCACCCCAGCACCAAACCCCCTTGCATAGCGTCCAGCAGCTAACACGGCCTCCTTTTAGATTGGTGCTCTTTCTGGGGTACGTTAAACAGCTCATGATGAGCAGCGGGAATGCAAATCAGTACAGCGAACACTGAAACACACCCAGCGCCCGTGCGCCGTCCGACTTCAACGTCAGGAGGGCGTCCACGCAACGTGAAATCAGGTCCAAAACGCCGTTGTGGAAAGGCTTGCGGGCGCGATCAGGTCGCCAGTGGGTGCCACACAGCCATCCATGATGCGCCCGCTTGCCGTGCAATTTCAGATTTGCGAGCGGCGGCGAAATCATTGGAGATTTTCGGATTAATTCACTATGGTGTTTGGCATGCTCGTCACCTGCGACATTGTGCGGCATCTGGACTGGACATCGTGGGCAACAAGCTGAAGCACTGTGCGCGTCGGGGTCGGCCCTCTGCCCACTTGTTTGTTCGTTTGTTCCTTACATGGGTGCATCGACATGACGTCACGGCATCGATCAATGTAGCGTACCAATCCAGTGTGCGATGGGCACGTCCGGGCCCACTTATGTAACCGAAAACACGCCTCCAATGGCGGCCACAGCTGCCACCGGACTCTCTGCCCACTTGACACAATCTGCCTCAATTTCGTGATGCGAGTCGACGAGCTGCCACGAAATCAAAGTTGGGATCGATGCCCTTGGTGTTTGGTAATTTGGCGCCTCGCCGTTCCTTCGTGAGCCAGGTCATTTTATTCGACGACCGCTTCCGTTGCGCAATCCTGAACCCGAACCGAATAATGGTGAATCCATGCCATAATATTTGTTGCCAAATTAGCATGGGAAGATGTGGGTATGGGGATCAATTTCAGTAGGGGCGGCCTTAAAATAAGCTGCTTTTGTCGACCGGTTTGCTGCAATCTGGTTAGGCTGCAGAGCTGGAGCCTTTGTCGCCTTTTTCGCCTTTGCCCGCTGTCGACGGACTAGCCCGTTGACCAAATTAGAGGCCGAGTTATAGCACTGATTTCCCCCCCGACATAGAAATTAGTTGTTTGAATTCTCATATTTTATTTCTACTATTTTGATGGCACAGAAATGTAGCGCGCATAATCCATGCCCTTCAGGAAGTTCTGTGCGTATGTTCCACACACGTCCGTCAGCGGAATTACTCATTCATTCAAAACGAAATCCGAAGCCTCATACCAAAAGGTTTAGCAGCAGCAAAGCATCTCGGTGCTTTTGCCGTGCATGATTGCAGTGCCGTGCATGCAATTTACTGCATGAACCTCGATGAATGTGCACAACGTTACCGCAATGTGCGCTGCCGCAAAATGATACAATGGGATGTCTAGCACGTCGCATTCGCTCTTTTCTGCTGTATACTTTCTTGCTGATAGGGAACGTAGGTTCAAAATACATTTCTGTATGGGAAGAATCCAGTTACACTCCCAGCGACTGTTTTGCAATACAACGCGGGGGAGATGGGCCCAAAGCGGAGGTATTTCCCGAGAGATGGGGAAGACAACGAGTAAACCTCACCCAAGACGCCCTGTAAAAGCATTGCGGTGCTCACCAAGCATACCTCCACTGCGTTATTACGTTTAGCCCTTTGGCGCTGCGACGCGAAGACTGACCATTTGCTGCGCAGAAAAGGGAAGTATCAGTGGAGTAGTGTATTCACTGAGCACACAAATATTTTTCAGTCGGGGCATGCCCGGACTATGCTGCAACCAAACGACGCTTTTTCAGAGATTAATTATAGCAAACTGTTTTGTCATTTTGTGGCAAATATTATCCATGGATTTTGATGACGATTAGACCAAACTGGATTCACCGTTTCTCTCAGATTCGTCTCCCTCAGGCTACTGACTCGCTGCAAAATTTTGCGCCAAATCCGCTTCGACGGCGAAGAGCTGATAAATCTGGGTGGTAGCGCCATCCCTCAGGTTCTCCAGCTCTTCCTCGACGCGCTGATGCGGATCTGGATTCCGGCGATTTTGCATCGTGCTTAGCTAGAATAAATCCTAGCGCTCAGCGCTAAGTGCGAGTGGAAGAGCTGTCAGCACGCCGTCGACGCAGGTGATCAAACTGTATCTTCTCGTCCTGCTTCCGGGGCTCCATCTGTCCCTTCCTCAACCTATTCCACTGTGAGGGTCATCGCCCTCTCCACCACAATCTCCAGTAAACTCTTCGTGCACTGGCCGTATTGTGGCGTCTTCAAGGGCTGGCAAGTTGACAGGGATCGAGGCCGTCGGAAATACTTCCGCAACACCACACAAGGAGTCACAGCTAGATTAGGCGATTGAGCAGATTGCGTCGCAGCATGCGGTCAGACATGTTCTTGTGGTGTGGCGCACAACGGAGCGCGAGCAATGGAGAGGTTTTGGAAATCCAAACAAAGAAAATTGCAGGCAATCAACCAATCTTGCAAGGGGAAGCTCATTGTTTGCAAACGCCACCCATTAAATTCAGTCCCATGCCAACCGCTTTGTATCACTTATTCTGTGATGCACCATGTGAATGCTCATCCCATCTAAATAGCTCGCATCCTGTCAGTGCAAATATGCAAATTTTCTGGAATCTTCTGGGGCCCATCGACAATCACCGATACAAATGCGTCCCCTCTGATTGACTCATGCCAGCAAAACTTCCAGCATTCCCCCATGTCCACTAGATAAGTGTTTTTTTAGAGCCCCGTGCGTCGACAACAAGCTGCTATTAAAAACGCAATAACCTGTGCATCTATATGTATTGGAGCTGCGATTGCGCTAAACTTCACAATATCCCGTCCAGTCTCATCCTAATCCTAATCACAGCAACCATTTAGTTCAAATAACTATTTACCAACAGCATTTGCGTGTAATGGAATGCTGTCAAATTGTGCCCATGCGCCAACGAAGTCGTTGCAAACCGCTTCTTATGCCATCTTACTGCAGAACTAATCAACGAGACTAAACTTGCACTGAATCCTCCAAAGTCAGTCAGTACCTATTCCAATGACACTTCCCTTACTGTATCTCAGGATTCATTTACTCAACTCACTTCCCACAGTACTCACGTCAGTGACACAACAACTGACGCATTTGCATCGAGGTGCTGAATGGCGCAGGTGCAGGCAGAGTCATCCCTTCCTTTCTCGATTGGGCTTTATGAATTCAATGGTCTTGTTGATTTGGATTGTGCTCCAATAGACATCGGCTGCTAGCCTGGCCGCGCGGCTTTGCGCTGCTCGTCTATAGACGAGCTAGCTAGGCGCCAAGCTCCTTCCATGGAGGCGGAGTCAATGGACAGTCTCAACTTTCGATCAGCAGACAGAACAATAACGTGGTTGACAAGGGACCTGCTTGCTGCAAACTCAAGCAATAGAATTCAAAACGACTAGCCGTGCATTATTATATTTCAAATGTACCACTTTGGTGTCGTGCAATGTTCCCGCAAACACGAAGTAAGCGAATGCTGACACTCAGCTCGGTCAATCGGACACAAGCTGACGCCCCCGGTCGACCGCATGTGGCCATACCAACGACGGGGCAAGAAAGTGCGACGCGTGGCCACACCGTCTGCGCTGCTGCGACCAAATCACATTTCACGCGATGATTCAGCGGCCCCACACGTGAGACCTCACACGCGTACGTGATTGCCCTCCGTCCGCCAGAGCACGCGATTTGTCGCCCCTCCGGCCTTCCCAGCCTGCCCTGCGGCGGAAGACGGGCCCGGGCGCAGCACCGGCTTCTCCCGCGTAACGCACTGCACAATGACGCACCCCCGCCTCGCACCTTACGCAACAATTTTCGGAACCAGCCGGACGCGGCCAGGCCGCCCAGAAGCCACTGTACACTCGGGCCCGCCCGGCAAAACGCCAAAGTCCCACCGAGGCCCGGCAGCCTTGGGGCCTGGCGCGTCGCAGGGTCGCAGGGCCACAGGGTTTACCATCGGCAGGGGGGAGGCGCGTCGGCATGCCTCCGCCCAGGGTGGCCTCCCGCGAGGAGCGCGACCGCCTGAGGCGGGAGCTGCTGGACGCGGAGAAGGCCCTCACGCGGCAGGGCGACGAGGTGGCAAGGCAGCGTCGCGCCCTGCCCTGGGTGCGGGTCGAGAAGGACTACTCCCTGCGCGACGCCGACGGCCGGGCGGTCCAGCTGTCGGAGCTGTTCAGGGAGGGGACGGCGGACCTGGTGGTCTACCATTTCGCGTGCGGGCCCGGCGCGGACGACCCCTGCGACCAGTGCTGCTGCTGGGTGGAAGGCTTCGACGCGTACGCGCCGTTCTTCGACGGCAGTTTCGGCTTCGCGGTGGTGGCCGGCGCGCCGCACGAGCGCCTCAGGGCGCTGACGGGCCTCAGGGGCTGGACACTGCCAATGTACAGGTGGGGAGGGGGGCCGGGTAGTTGCGGCTGGGCGCCACTGTCCGGAACGCTCCGCTCTTGCGCCCAAAAGTCCGCCCGACGCTTTTGCCTCGCGTTAATTGGACCGCGTTGATTGGCGACCCGGTGAGGGCCGGTGGCGCCCGCCATGCTGTTCCCTGATCGTTCGGTCGACGCTGCGCAGCTCCGCGGGCAGCGACTTCAGCCAGGATTTCGCGGTCGAGGGCTATGAAGAGGAGGGCGATGGGACGGGGGGTGCGGCGCCGCGGTCGCCCGCCCTCAGCGTGTTCCGCAAGGAGGACGGCGTGGTTTACTGTACGTACTCGACCAGCGGGAGGGGCCTTGAGGTCTTCAACCCGGTGAGAGCGGAAAGTGTAAGGGACGCATATCGCACGGCAACCGTATTCAGGCCACGGATTTTTCCCCCCATTTTCATTGCGCCTCACTTGAGGGGCGAATGCGGAAACATTGCATCGATGGATGCTCAAGGGGGAAAAGATCCTGACATGGTTTTCATTTGTACGAAATGGGGACAATCTGTTGTTCCAGCCGAAATTTCGGTGAACATTCGGGCACCAAAGGCAGCACTGGTCCGGGGGGATTGTTTTTGAGGTCCGAGCGCATTTCTCTTCCGGAGAGATGCAGGGATTCTGGGTCCACCCCCGTTGGGCTGCTGGGTGCGCGGGTGGGGGATGGGCTTAGGGATCCCGACGCGCTATGTCAAAGAATGCGTTTCATGCTGAAATCGGTGTGAGCCAGGAAGGGCTCAAACTCCCCATGGATTGTGAGAAAGTACTCCTTTCGAGCGTCTAAAATGTGTTTCCGTTAACGGCGACGTCCACCTAGAGCTGCACGAGTTGCGCAAGCCCAACATTCGCGGTACGTAGGAGAAAGGCGAGCAACCACCCCGCCCAGTCAATCCATTTAGAGACCACCAGAGGCTGGTTTGTTTTCAATGGAAATCGGCCAAAAGAGTAACGTTGTTCCACCACTGCTTCACACTACATCGTCTCCCGGGCCTCAGCGTGCGGATTGATGCGCATCGGAGAATAAGTCCAGTTTTGATTGAATCAATAATTTTACGTTCCCGGCATCCAACTAGGTTTGGGCTTTCTTGGACACTCTTCCGAATGGACGAGAAGGGTGGCATCAGGAACACAGGCATCTGTGCAGAGAGAAGCGGCCTCATGAATGCAATGGAAGCGACGAGTCGAGCAAGAAACCCAGGAGCGCAGGTTGAATCGGGACGCATTGCCAGGCTAATTCCTGAGGCTCACCAGACGTGCTTTTCCAGTTTGTTTGTAGCATTGGGATGGCAGCAATGGTTCGGCTTTGATTGGTTTTACATGTAACCTACCTGGCCAGGACAGTGCTCTTGCACAAGAACATTGTCGCTGACACATGGCAGAAATGCTGGCTGTACTGCAACGGTTCTCCAATTTTGTTTTTCTCCGACTACAGCGATTTTGAGCCGCCAATGCCCATATTGAGCGAAGGCCAACAAGTCACAAATATTCGGCTCTGGTGATATGCATGCTGGCTCGCAACGTCCTGTCAATGCAAAAATTCCACACCGCCGCGATATGTCCTGCATAGTCAATGAATTCTGAAATTGCGTTCCGCTGCATTGGCTATATGATATAGCCATGGTGATCATGCCTCAGTTGAAGATTTTTAATTAAAAACTTTTATATTGTACAATGAGGCCATGTCTCGCACTCCAGAGTGCTGGAAAGCGCTAAGAAGGGTCTCTCCTTCGCGATGGAGCTCGGTACCTTTGCTGTGGCAAGGAAATTTCTTGTTGCGTGGTTCTGCTCGATACACACAATCTGGGAAGTGTGCATTCAACGTACACCAGTAGAAGACATTGTTTTGGCGACGCCAACTGCGATGCAATTTGACACTAATTGGCTTCATCGCGGTAAGATCGATTCCATCTCACACGCGGCGACCCAGCCGTTTGGTGACGAAAACGAAATCTCAATGGGGACCCCCAATTTTCTGTTCTTGCTTTTGCTTGCTCCAGGAGAAAATCATCTAACGGGTGTCAGGGACTTAATAAATGAGGGTTATGAGTATTTCCCTGCTACCTGCAGGTATTGGGAAAACATGCAATACCCTCATTTGTTAACTTCCAGCGCCTCAGCATGTTCCTTCCATAGTGTGGTCACCTACGGGAATATGTTTCGTATGACATCAGATTCTGCTGATTTGCCACAATCGAAGGCAGCGGCAGGTCCATGTGGCCCGCGCATAGGCTGCTTCCATAATCCATCTCATCCTGCGCACCAGGCCCTTTGTCCCTGTCAAATGGAATCGCTGTTGACCTATAGACACGTCCTGCGAACGCCAATGGTGCTTGCAGAATCCGCGGGACTTTGGTCATTCCGATGATTTTCAACAACAGAGTTATTTTGAGATTGTTTAAGTTGCTGGTGCTGAACCACCACGTTGTCTCCATCCAGCACCGATGCTGCGAAAAGAAATGAAAGGAAACTGGTGAAAAAAGGGAATCAAAACAGAAAATTGGGTTCGGAATTTGGCCGATTTTGTCAAGGCGGCGAGATGCCTTGCTCAGTTCCTCTGACGCTTTCTTTTGAGCTTCGCGGCAAACTTTCACTTGGAATGTCGGACCAGCGATCTCACTAACTGATGGCGTTGTCCTTGGAATGGTGGACATGCAATTCAAGGTCTGAGTGCACAGACGGAATCTTGGATGGGCGCTATGTATATCAGTGCGTGCTCAATGCTACAACGGAACCCGTCGACAGGTTCCGTGAGAGCAATGAGACCGTGTGAGACGTCTCATGCGGGTTTGCTTCTCAGCTGGTTGGGTACGAGGAGTCACTGATCGTATTGGCGGCCTTTTCGAATCCAAGATGGATGTGTTTGGCACCCACATATGCCACAGCCTGTCTGTGGCACCTATGCCAAAAAGAAAAGTTGGGTAACGATTTTCATGCTGATGTGGTTGACTCACCACGACTCGCAATGGCATTGATGAACTGATTTTGAGGAAGGGTATCTTCTGCACTTTGGCTGCCAGTATATTATTCGTTTTGTCACAAAAGGCACAACGGTTTTTGCTTGTTGGCGAACGGCGGTTGGCAGACCTATCATCGTGTGAGTTCGTCATTATTTATATAGTTATCGGCAGAAATCCAGCGATTGTCAAGCTGCTGTGAAAGGAAGCCTTCGCGGTCAAACTTGTTGGAAAACAGATTCTCAGATCGTTGGCAATCGCAGGCGTTGGAAAGGAGCCTTGTCTCGCTCCGAGATTATCTTGTGTTGGCCGCTTAAGACCAATGTGCTTCTGACTCTTTGTCTGCCAAGCGTGGTCCTTCCTGCCACGTTCGGACCGGAGGTTCACTTCTTGTTCTTCCAAACGGGGTCCTTTTGCTCACGAAAGCAACGGTACACGGGCAGAGTGCACAACGCCTGCTTCGAACTCGGATGACGTGCTCACTCTCTCAAAGATTCTTGAGATTGTCCCTCGTGGTCTGCGCGGGTGCCGAAACCAGAAGGCACGCTTCAAGAGGACAACGCCCTCACAACGCCTCGCCGAAGCTGTGAAAAGCGTTGTTTCAACAACGGCAAACGCTCGCGTTTGCCGCGCAGTACTTTGCACAAACCATTTGTCAACGGCGCGCCGCCGCGACGCTGGTGGGCGGCTGCCTTACGCCTCCCCTTGCAAAGCGGTGACGTAAACTCTTGCAGACGCTCGCCAAACGCTGTGCGGGCCACGTGAAGTCCTTCAAAGGGTCTCGGCGGCCGCGACGGAAGGGAGGCTCTTGGGCTCCGCGGCGCCCAGATTTCTCAACGCACAGCGGCCAAGGATGCCTCCGTCCAATGTGGCCTCCCGCGAGGAGCGCGACCGCCTGCGGCGGGAGCTGCTGGACGCGGAGAAGGCCCTCACGCGGCAGCGCGACGAGGTGGCGCGCCAGCGCCGGGCCCTGCCCTGGGTGCGGATCGAGAAGGACTACGCCTTGCGGGACGCCCACGGCCGGCCGATCAAGTTCTCGGAGCTGTTCCGCGACGGCAAGGCGGACCTGGTGGTGTACCACTTCATGTACGACCCCGCGTGGCAGATGCCCTGCGAGTACTGCTGCTGCTGGACGGAGGGCTACAACGCCTACGCGCCCTTCTTTGAGGACAAGTTCAACTTCGCGGTGGTAGCCAAGGCGCCGGCGGACCGCCTGAAGTTGGTGATGGCGATGAAGGGCTGGTCGCTGCCCATGTACAGGTGGGCCGAATAACGGACGCGCCGCCCCGGAAAAACCGCGCGAATGGGTTAATCGCAAAGCCCTGGAAGGGCCCTTGCCCATCGATAGCCGACGGATCTCGCTGCCTTGCCGACAGTTCCGCCGAGTGTGATTTCAACGCGGACTTTGAGGTGGAGGACACGGTGATGGAGTGCGACGGCAGGGAGGTACCGCTGTCGCAGGGCCCGGGCCTGAGCGTCTTCCGCAAGGAGGACGGGGTGGTCTACCACACGTACAGCACATACGGCCGGGGGCTGGAGGTCTTCAACGCGGTGGGTGCGCACGGGGCCGCCGGGATGGGGGTGGGGTGGGGTGGGGTGGGGTGGGGTGGGGTGCTGCCTCCCTGTCAAGGACAGGGCAAGCCCGAGTCAGAAGCCAGTTGCAGGGAATCTGGAGGAAGGGTACGGCGACGGTGTAGGTCCGCGCCAGCCGATGTGTACCGTAGTTTTTTTAAACCCTTTCGTGTGGTAGCGCAACGCTTGGCATTTTTCTGTGGAGAAAACAAAAAATTAAATAAAGCTCTTTTCATAATTGTTTGCGGAGCAACGCAGACAACGAAAGCAACGCACGGGAAAACAAAACGCAGAGCGCAACGGCAAAATTCTCCGATGCGGAAATGTATCTGGGTTCGCGTGACGTCGGGGTTTAGGGGAATCCGCGTGAGGGGAGAAGGCGTTACGCGACCAAATATAACCTATGGTATACGCTAATGAACGTGCTGCCCTCCCGATGCACTGGCCGAAAGGCAAGCGCGAAAGTGGGAGCTATCTGTGACTTGGAGGGGCTGTGGGGCTGGGTGGTGGGGTGGTGTCGATTTGTTGGCGCGCCAAAGCGCGTGTGGGGCGCTGTGGGCCGTGGGCTTGCGCAAACGACGCGTTTGTCGTCCACGACCATCCAGCGGGTCATAAGAGGGTGAGGTGGGGGTATCTCAGTGTCCCTGCGAATAACACATGCCATTAAGATAGAATGCGGGTCAAATTGACTGTTGGTTGTCCTCACGGAAGAGCGCAACGGGCATGTTTCAATGTGCCGAAGTCGCGAGGGTTGGAAGTTATGGAGATTGTGGAGAATGTAGCTGTCGATCGAAGTCGACTATCCAATGCAATGCGCCACCCCCTTGGGCTGTTCCTCTTCGTTGCCTTGCAGTGCTGGCGTAACGCCTTGGCTTGTGGACAAAATCATTTTGGGAATGCCAGTTGCGATGCCATTTGATGCCCATTGATGCTACCACAGCTAGTTTGGTGCATCGTAATACCCGTGATGGCACCTCTTGGTGTCAAAAAGGCATCGCAGTTGGCATCGAAAAAAATGATGTCTTCTGCCAGTTCCTCTGACTGGAAGTATTGGGCAAAGCCGTCACGTATTTGATGATGCAGTCAATTAGCCAGTGCGGATTCATCTTCGTCTTGGATGTACGACACATGCAATGGGCGGCAGACCAGAGTGGCACCAGTGTTCATGAAAACGTGTCACTGATGTTCTTACTTACCGCCACAGATCTTTCCCTGGTATTCTTTGGTTACAAGCCTGTGTGTATTGTCAGACCGCTGAGGCTGGCCTCTCTTGTGTTGTTGGGTGTTTATCACGCCATCTGAACCAGTGTCACAATGGCTTGATGGCACACTGACACTGTCATGACGCAAGGTGCAGCTGACCTCGTCAAGGATTGGATGATTTAACCAATAAACATATCCTCATTGACCAACCTTCCACTTACTGACCTACTTACCAACCCCATCAACACCCCACCCAGGTTGGGGTTCACTCACGGATCAGTGTATCTCCCTTTAGTGCATTAAGATTCATGACTTGGCACTTTTTCTATCTGAAGCTTGCTTTGCATTTAACCCATTCTGTTCAGCTTCCTTATCGTTATTTGGGTGCCTGGGTCTCTCGCATGCCATTAGAGAAGTAAAATGAATGCATTTTTGCAAAGAGGATTGAGTGTGCTTGATATTGTATTGCCTTCCTTTCAGATCTGGGCGTTCTTGGACACGCTTCCAAATGGCCGTGAGAGTTGGCACCCAAAACACAAGCATCTGTACAGGAAGAGGCGATCGCGCCTGGACGATGAGGGCTCTAGGTCATGCAAAAGGAGCAGAAGCGAGAGTGTGGAGTCTAGGTGCTGTGAACAACGCAAGCAGGGAACCTGACAAGTAGGACGCAACAGTTGCCCTACCTTTCCAGTGCTGACGTAAAGGGACCAATGCCCTCAGCATTGATCAATCCATGGTCGCTGGATAGTGTTTCATTGCAAACCCCCTTAAAGTTGGGATTCCATTCAGGTTGGGTGGGTGTCCCACTTGTTCTGGCTGTGCGGAGGACTGCCGCTGCTGTGAGCCTTTTGGTAGAAACAGCCATTGAATGCACTAGCGCGTGGCTGGGCCAACAAGGCGACATGTGAAAATGTTGAAATCATAAAAATTTAACAATGGGTAGGCAAACTCTCCCATTTTGTACGCATTGCTCAAGTCAAATGGTGATGGCCCACCTGATGTCCAATGTTGGGCAGCTCATGGCAAAATAGGTGCCACAGGGGGCGGCTGAGAGGAGAATTTACGTTTTTCAGTTGGTGCACATCAGGTTGAAAACTTTGTGCGGGGTTGGCAGGCAGTGGTCGCCAAAATGCGCCGCTTCAGCAATGCGTAGCATTGGGCGCAGATTTCCCCCTTGCACTTGTCGCCATGTGCATGGCACAATTCCCACACAGTGCAGTATGGACCACACTCTCGCATGGACAGAGAAAAAGTCCAGGCGGCACTGACTTCATCAGGGTGCGTCGGCCTCCCAGCCGACGTGGACAGGCAGTAGGGGGTAACGGCGGTGGGATGTGGTTGGAAATGCTGACGGGGGTGGGGAGGGGTGGAGTGTGTGTGTGTTTGGAGGGGGGGGGGATCATTGGTGCCAGCGGTGCATCGCCAGGCTGCCCCATTTCGGCGGCATCGGCAGGAAATGTCCCAGATGCGCCGGTCTCCGATGCCGGACACCCCAACTCGCAAGACCAACGCCAGCGAAACTGGAACACTGGGGCATGGACGATGGGCAGCAATAGATGGTGCACATTTCATTCATCTGGGGCGCAGATTGGGCATGCGTCGAATAGGAGAGCCTAACTGCCGTTTTGGGTGTACAAACTATCTGCTGGGGGTACATTGTATTTGGGCCGCTGGAAGTTGTCATGACGGGGAAATGTAATTACGACCAATTCATTCTGCAGATTATGGGGGCCGTCCTCTGAGCTCTTGAATGGGGTGGCATCGTTCAGTAGAGACCCGAACACCGCTGGCAGTTGTGGCGTCGTTGACAACAACTGGGCTGCGAGTTATGGATTTGCCGCTTGATGAGGCGGCCATGCCATTCTCTGAGCTGGGAATGGATACCGGTGCATTCCTGGGCAATACGCACCATCAAAAGCTGTCGCAGAAGTTCGCAGCTGCCTGGAAATGCGCCAGAAGGAAAAAGAGCACAAGCTCAAGAGGGCCCTGGCCATGCCATTGCATAGCAGTCTTGTGGGCAGCATGGGCGACCGCCATCCACCCGCCATCATGGAATCGAGCTCTGACAGCAATAGAGTGCTTGGTTTCGCCGTATACTGATTGTTGTCGCACTTGCTTTCCCGATACTGCATTACCTTTCTCGGTTTTCAACTCACCCGTTCCAAAAGTAAAGAGGGCAGCGAAGGCGATTGAGGTGAGACTATGGAACACACTCACACTGAAGATCTCCCGCCCAACCGATGGAAATTGGCATAATACTAGCAATAGAGGCGTTTAAAAGAGTTCACGTAAGGAAAGGGACGAACACTGTCGAACACATGCAGGAGGAGCCCAGAGGAATCGCAGCAACCTGCTTATAACAGATGTACCCAATAAACTCTAGAAATCTCTGTACTAGAGTACGCCACCCCCTTGATCACCGGACCTCGCATGCAGAGCCATGAAGCGAACTCAAAATTCACCGTCGTTTCCGGCGTTCGCAGTCCCACAGCAACGATTTTGGTAATCTCACGGAAACTACCCAATTAAATTTTCACGAGGGTGCCAAGCTTCATTTGAAGCCTTAACTCTTCCAACTCAATTCTTTCTGTAACCGCTTCGAGGTTCCATTGTTACTTTCCCGGCAACAATTGTATCTGACCGCTGGCCAGCCGTGCATCCGTGAGCTTGGCAAGGTCGCCGTGCGCGCGTCCCCGAGCCAGGAACCAACAACTGTTTGTCCAACATGCTAGCTGCATCTTCTTCGTGTCAGACTCTCATACATGCAATATGACCCATATTCTCTTTCCACTTTTCACTGGGAGTTTTGCAGCGGTGTTTAGCCACTGAACCTCAGTCATGTGAGCTGAAGAAATTGCAACTGAAATGTTGAAAAAAGGCGACTGCCAGGCAGACATACTGAGTGATTACAATTTCCCAAGGATAGATTCTCAGATATCATCATGTCGTTTGATTCATGACATTACAAATCGATATTTGACGTACCCAGCTCAGTAGCCAAATACAGTAACCCGATGAGCTCATTATGTTCATTCTTATAATTGTGCTCAATTGTTCTATTGAAACCAACGCCTTGACATCACAGGATTTACGCCTGTTTCACACATGCCACATCATTTTTGTTACTTGCCGACGCTTTTGTTATTCGATTGAGATATTTCGATAATTTCTCGTCTGCAATAGACGACTTTCATGCTGCTTCTCTTTGCATTCATCTTCAAGGTTTCTGGGCACACGATTCTGAGCGACTTAAAATTATTCTGGGTGTGAAATTAGCCAAACTTGCTGTCGGCATTCTTGTCAAACTTAGCATCCATATATTTGTGAGAAAGAGAGACCGCAGACCTGAACCTAGAATTATTGCTCCATAATCAGTGCAGGCCAAGAGGGCCCATGGGGCCTGTGGCTCGTCCGAAAGCTCCCAGCTCGTCCAGCTTGTGTCTGGCATCCACAGACGACAACGAAGAACATCGCAAGCTTGCCTTTCTGCAGTCGATGCGGCGACTGCAGCAATCGCTCCAGTCGCTTTGCGGACTGGCTTGGCACGCTGACCAGGCCCACCAACAGACATATGGGCGCAAGGCCGGGATTCCGACAAGTCGTTATCCAATCGCGGCCAAGCATCCACAGAAGTACCGGCGCTAAAGAGGAGGGCACGGCGATATCTGCCAATTAGACGCTCGGCGCTCGTCGGGCGGCGGATGGGGCGATGCCGCCGCAGCGTCGCCATGAGCACGGATCGGACAAGACCAGATCGATTCTGCACATAATGCAGAATGGGGAATTTGTGTCTGCCGGTCGTTCGTCCCACAAGCGGCTGTCGTCCCCCGAGGCCATTAGCTGCCAATGGGCAGCGCTTTGGGTATTCCAAACCTGCCAACAAGGGGCAATTCGAAAACACTGCTCAGGATCCCAGCTCACAGACGCCGGCTCAGAAACTTAGTATTCAACCAGCAATTTCTCGCGGCGGGCTCCTGTACATCCACCGATGTCTGCCCCTGCCCACGCCAACCGCCGCGAAGCCCCCCGCACACGCTCACAGTCCACCGGAAAGCACCCGGACCGTATTTTCTCCCACTCCCGACGGTCAGGCACGCCTTTCTGAGGCGGAAGCGTTGCGCAGGAGTCGACGACTGCCGGTTCGTCGGACGACGGAGCAATGGCGACGGGTCGTCGCGGACGTGGAGCCGTCAACGCAGCCGTCTTCTACTGCCTGGCCGCCGCCCTGTCGCTGGCCTCCGGCGAGGACTGGACAGACGCAGACTTCCGCGACCGGCTGCGCCAGTGGGCCAACTCCGGCGACCTCGACGACCCGCAGGGCAGGCTGGACTCCTGGCGCGACGAAGCGTCCGCCAGCGTCTGCGACTTCGCGGGCGTCCAGTGCATTCCCGACGAGTTGCACCAATTCCTGGGGGACTTCGACGAGGACGCCATAAAAGAAATAGACCTGGCGGGCTTCGGCCTTTCCGGGGCCCTGCCCGGCTGGGTCTGGGCGGCCGCGAAGGACAGCCTTCAGCTGAGCCACAATCACTGGAACGCCACGACGACGCTGTTCGACGAGTCGATGACGGGCGCCGCGCTCAGTCGGGCCAGGAGGCTCAACTGCACGGACTGCGGGCTGAGCCTCTCGGGCAGAGTGTTCGATGGCTGGGAGGAGTTTGTGAACCTGAGGGCGCTGGACCTGTCCCTGAACCCGGACCTGGAGGCGGAGTTTCCGGCGGGGCTCGGGGTGGGGAGCGAGCTGGACCTGCGGTTCGAAGGCACGCCCATCTGCGGGGCGTCACCAGTCACCGGGGAGCCCATCGCAGTGTGTGCAAGCTAGCGTACCCCAGGATGGCCGTCGCGCTTGCCGCTGAGTGTCTTCGAGCGCCGACATGGGGGGAACCGTTTGGCGAGCCAGAATGTGGCAGAAATCTGCCTTGCCACTGCACGTGCATTGCTGCTGCGCGTTGTCGAGACGTCGGGTGGGACGAGGACACGCTTTGTGATTTTTGATGTACAACTCAGGAATGGCATTTCATGAATATTGTCTTGTGTTCTTCGAAGACGAGCAGATGAGCACCAGTTGGGGTCCCCTGCAACTGGTTCCTTCACTGTGACAGCAAGTTCTGTGACGCAGGCTCCATATTGGTTAGCATGGTCTCACAATCAAGACATCTTCCCAAAAACCAAGGCGACGCAAGCCAGAAAATGGCTGGGCTCCACAAGTTCTACTTTGTAATGCGCCATTCAGTTGGGGAAAACCCTATGTTGATTTTGTTATGTCTAGTGTCAATTTAACGTTAAGCTCAGCCCCCCACTCCTTATTTCGAAACAAGAATGACTCAGCAATATTACATAATGGTGTGGTGCAAATTTGTTATGTTTTGAAGAACAAAAACAGTTCAAACTGCAGCGATTTTACTGGGTTGGAAATTGAGATGCACAAAGCCATAGCAGTGATGTGGGGCATGTTGGAAGGCCGCCAATTGAGATTTTATGGGGATGGCTGAACGCCAAAGGGAAGTTTTGGGACAAGTCATGTGTTTCTCAACACTTCTCAGCAGCGTTTTGGGTATCTTACAAGCTTATGCGGATTTTTTTGCAAATATATAATCTCTCAGCGTCACAGGTCCTTCCCCCCCCCCGCCCTCTCTTTGCTTCAATTGATGCTAAAT